ACTTTTTATGTGTCACATAATGTCATTCTTCGCTATCATAAAACGACAAATATTATAAGTATCACTCGTCACGATTGTAGTTTCCTTATATATTTTGATTGTTACCCACATCATGATTTCTTGTCGATTCTAACGAGGTCAGTAAAGCAGGCAAAAACGAACATAACATCATGGCGATGAGCAGAGGGTCACACCCTGATATACCAAATATTGTACAGCACTTTGTTGTCATGGTGTCTCGAGAATGAAACAATCATTATAGACATTTTATTCATTCAAAGCAATGGGAAGTCTTTTATCTGCTTTCTGAAAGTAAAACATACTAAGTGCTTCTTTCGCAGTGCAATTAAGCTATGGAAATGATCACGTGTAAAGTGATAGCAACGATTAGTGTCCGGCTAAGATGACTAAAGGCTGCAAAATGACGTCGATCGATAAGCATAATTCGAGGACTAGATTATCCTGCGACATTGGCCTTGCTGGACACAACTTTTAAACTAAACTAAAAGTTTTTGTATCCCAACATAGATGAGCTTTTATTGATGATCAAGGTTACGGTCAAAATCATCAAAAGCAATTGTGAGCAGACGGTATCGGGGAAGAGCTTAACTGCTATGTTTATATAAAATACTTTTTACAAATAGTATCGGCAGCAATCAGTGATGAGATATGTACCGACGCATATGATATATCTGTTTATAATATTGGATATTAGAAACATTACCTCATAGAATTGTATTGCGTTCCCTTTGCGCTTCGGTGTTCGTGAGAAAACATCCGTCAGTTCCGGATGTACACAGATGTATAATATGTACATACATTCCTATTGGAACTAAGTCGATTGTAACACTTGTTTTTGCTATTCTGGGCTGCTTTTAATCTGTTTACGTTAGTTTGAGAATTTTAAACTATAATTACGTGCTCTTTTTCAGTAAACAGTGTAATTGATCCTTGCTGAAGAGTGAAGTTGTCACGGACGGAACAGTGGATTTTTTTTTAATTGTTCCCACTGGAACTGCGAAATAGAAATATTACACATGACATTGATAAGAAATACATTTTAGCGGTGGGAAAAAACTCCTCACTAACATCATTTATTGCTTTCATGTTCTTTCTATCGTCCCATTCCTTTTAGTTTTTTTCCTGTTTCTTTTTCCCTTTCATTCATTTTCACTTTGTGTATTTTTAAATTGCTCCCATTACTCAGTTCCTATGATAAGACTTCGCAAACAAATAATGGAAACAGACAAATTAAACAAACAAACATGCAGTTAATTTCGGAAAGTACGGACGGACAGACACACGGACAGACAAACGGCGGAAAAGATACAGTAGTTACATTAAGGGACTGAGCAATATATATAGGACGGGGGTTGAGAAATGAGCCAAAAAAATCAAAAGTTAATTACCACTGTATCTGACACCGTTGAGTTTTCAGTTTCCATTAAAGTTCTAGTTTATTTTAGACGTTGCCTCCCTCTTAAAGATCCCCCCCCTCCTGATAAATACTGCACACTCCCTTATAGTCAAACACTGCGACCGACCGAAATAGAAAATAATTACACTCGAAAAAAAGGACGAAAACGTCAAAAAAAGAAGCGATTATGATGATTATGGGTTTGCTAGTATAAGACACCGTTTCAAGGCCTACTAAATGAGTACTCTAATCATTAATAAACGCTAGAGGTTATTTTAGGCCCTTTAGCTGATCTTTATTTCAGCAGGGAAGCGGCCCAGACCGCCTTTAAGCGTTCAAATTACTTTTAAAAGSCTTTTTTTCATCTCAGTGAAGAGTTATGATTTCAAAGTTTTGGATCAGTTATTTTCAATATCATCAATTAGAGCACATGTTATACGTAGTGTAAGTGTTCTTAACGACTTCGATTTGAATAATGGGTAACACACACTATCAAGGCAGGGCAAWACATACAAATATGTATAAATTCACTCAAGAGACCGCACAGAATGGTATGGGTTTTTTGTCTATAAATACACGCTCTCTTATCGAACGGCAGCGGTTGAAATGTGCTCTTTGATCTCATATTTTCATTTACTTTGATTTCCACGTGAAATGACGCCACAAACATCACAATGTCAATCTCTTGCAAGCTCATKCCATTATGGAACGCTATCCGCGACTCTATAATCAAGAGKTTTTTTTAATTACTCTGATAACATGACTATAAAGGCTAAATTGCGCTATGAAATTTTGATTCTACGTAATCTTTGCTTTAATTGTTTTAATGGTGTCTCATCGCTGACAGTAATGATTCTATAATTGTAGTGTTTTCATATCAAAATAGAACTATATCGCATTTGTAAAGAATTCAATACAGATCATTGATTCAGAAGCAATATCCGTTAGTAAACTGTGATATTAAAACCATGCGTAGATACACCAACTATCTCAATAGAGACCGGAGTCAGAAGGGTGCTTGTTGGTGATGAGTTGTCTGGCTAACTGGTTGATTAGATGGTGCATAGTTGGTTGGGTGGTTTGTTGTTGGGTTGGAGAGTTGGTTGGTTAGTTTGTGGGTTGAGAGATATAGGTGTTGTTTGTTTGTTTTAATTGTAGTTTTAAGTTAAATAACTACAATTATAGACCGGTCTATATCCTTGGGTATCGATACAAATTTTCGCAGCATACCGTGCTAGCAGGATACGATTATCACTCAATATCAATATCAAAATTATGATCAAAAATTCTCGTCAATTCGATCATCGAACATAGYCGAACACTAAGACAAAGTTCTGATAACATCCAATAAGACTGCTTCCTTCAGACCAGCAATGATAAGAGATTGGTTTCTAAGGTTGATATATAGACATATCTTTTTCTCTTTCTGCCGTCGGCTTAATTGGATAATCAGCAGGAGTTGTTGTAATATTCCTCCCAAGGTTACGCGAATCCCTCAGTGAGAGGCACACCTAGCTACAAGGTGCGCCTCATCTTTGCAGCACGAGTGACAAAACCTACAAAATATCATGTTAGTTGTTGCAGCGGCCAAAAATACTATAACTCATAAAAATCACAATATGCAGGGAAAAGGCCGTAAAAGCTTAAAGGAAACAGTAAATGATCATCTAATAGAAAATCAGTATCGCCATGAATATAACATAATCATTTTTTCTTGTATTCCGTGGTATGTTGTGTAGAGTGAGTAATTTTAAGGCCTGTTTCGTTGTCTGCGTAAAAAGCTCAACAGCAAGAGATCAAATCGTTATAATGCTTTCATGTCTACAAGAAGCAAATTCTTACGAGATAAGCTACGCTAAGCGGTTTGTATAGTAAGACTTCATTAGACGGCTTTTTCTCTCCCATTTTGCCGTAATAATGCTTTATGATCCTAAAGCAGTTCTCAACAATGAGCGGGTTATCAAGTCATAGCAATACAGACATTTTTATTTTGCATCATATCATTGGTATTGACCAGTATTTTAGCTATCTTTAAACAATCGTTCTTTTCGCATAACGTCATTTCTTACATAGGGTTTTTATTATCGCAATAAAATGGTTTATGTTAGAGTAACCATCGTAATGTTGACTGGCTGCAGTCAGAAATGGACTTGGTATCACATTAGCACGTACGCTGTTTTACATGCATCCTTACTGAGATAACAATGATGGCTTTTTAATAGCATTTTTGTCCTTAGTGGTATAGTTGTTGTCGTTATATTGGTAATGTTAACTACCCCGTTCCAAGGAGAAAAGCGCTGTTTTGTCTTTTCTGTATTTAAAAGCGGCGTCCGACAATAAACAAGTAATCTTCCAATATTGCGGCGGTTATGTCACTGAGGACCTAATGGACCTATAAAAGCCATACCGCAGAAAAAAAGAGAAAAGTCATTAGTGTAATCCTTGATTTTTACTTTAAGGTACATAAACATGGTGTAAAATAGTATAAATACAGAAGAAAAGTGTTTAGAAGGGCCTTTTCAGTTCTTGTGCAATATTAATCAAGGTCTAATCTACATGAGTGGCGCAACTATAACGTAAAGCGATCGTGACGATATCCCTTCTTGACGATTAGGTCACGTGACTAGAAGCAAGAAGTTTTGGTCTCAGACTGTTCGAAAATAAAAGCAATATATAAACATGTATAACGAATAAACAAACAAATCATAAACAAGTCATTTGACTTGACTGAAATGAAAGAAATTTATACATTTACTGAATTTTTCTCAAATGACGAAATCATAAACCGAGACTAAACACACGCGTTGATAGGGTATATAGTAAGATTAAGGCCTTTTCCTGTAGCTAAGTGAAGAAAAAGAAACTTTATATTTTATGTAATACAAAAGGATTAGCTCGACCAAAGCCTTGGCTATTATATCAATATTAGTATGTTAGTATACCGTCGTACAAGGACTGTGTCTGAGAAGTGTTGTACAATAATGTATTCTTATAGTGAAGCAATGTCTCATTTCATGCCATTTTAAGCCTGACATACAGTAACATACAAGCTTATAAACTGTAGTTGTTTCGTTGTATTTGTACCAAACATACCACAAACCAAGTCGCTAGATTTCCTTTTAATTAGCGGCTTTTTTGAAGTTGAAACTCCGCGAAAAACCTCCTTTCAGTTGTGCTTGTAATCTCTTCATATTTTTTGTTTTTTTTCCATAAACTAATTTATCAATTACAACGCCCATCATGAGACTAAAAAGAGCCCGGTATAGGCTAAAGATACATTTTTAATCCAATATTTTTCAACAGGACTTTCGTAGGAGTCAGCTTACAATTACAAGTGAGCCAAAAATACTGAAAAAAATATCGTTCTCTCTCCTGTAAACATACAAAAAACAGTTCCATTAAATGAGCCCGAAGGCCTAGCGTGAATGTCGATCTTCTATGCACATTAACTGTAAGAGCCTTTGAACCATTGATCAAAAAAGACACCACCTGCGGCAAGATCACGTGAACAATGACGTCATTAGGAGTGGCCTATTAACGATAAGCAGTTCAAATTGTCAGTGATAGTGACTAGAACCAAGTATTGCTTGAAAACCTCAACAAAGTCAGACGTTGCCCTTACGTGCTCTATACTACTTTGAGCTCATAACTCCTTGCTCTCTGAAGAGAGCGTTATAAAAAGCAGACAGTGTTATTTAATATTTAAAGAATAGTATGAACTAACCAACGCAAAGAGAATAACAGTTCAGTCCAGGGGAGTGCGACACTCGACGATTAGTGAATGTAATTTTCCCAAACAAGGTGAGTAAGGAATGAGTCTTTATTTCAATTAAAGTCTGAGAAAAACGATTTATCGATTCATGTAAGTTGTCGCTGTTTTACACATTGTTTTTCGTGATGCTCTTTGCAGAGTTCTCAAAATAAAGCTACACTGATTTTTTTTTTTTATTTCCAGAAAATACACAAGATGGTGGGAACAACAAGATTAGTTGCTTTGACATTCCTTTTCTCACAAACAAGTGTGTATTGGATGATACATGCTGTTCCATGGAACGAGTCCAACATAGAACATTCCGTCTCGTGCAGCTCTTCAATCAACTCGTGTGGAGACAAGTCACGGTGTATTACAAAGTTGGAATCACAAAACGGTCAAACACAACCAAAATGTTACTGCGATCAACACTGCTCTACGTTGAATGACTGCTGTTTAGATTACGTCACTTCGTGTAGTTCTTCTAATCAAAGAAACACAAAATCAAGTCCTGATCCTCGCGCACTTCAACCGCGTAACTGGAAATGCTTTCAATTCAGCAAACTGCCAAGAACTCCGGGAATTTGGATGATTGCAAGCTGTCCTGCAAATTTTACCGATTTCAACAACACAAAACGCAAGTGCGAGGCTGTAGCGGATTTACCCGTTACGTCACAAGCTACGGATTTATTRAGTGACGTTCCGATATCGTCATGTACTGGTACTGATTGCGCTACGTTTAGAAACGTCCATTGCGCAAAATGTAATGGAATGTATAATCTGATGAACAAACAACTGTTCTGGGATATTAAATGGCGTTGTAATATTCGACCGCCTCATTACCTAACACGTGATCAGAAGACTCGTTTTCTATTGGAAAACTGTCCAGATTACCAAGTGAAGCCGAACAAGAATAACAAAATAAGATACTGTTACCCTGTTGTGTCGAATTGCACGGTGAAAACCAACTATGGAAGCATAAATAACTCTAAGATTAACAATGATTGCGTCCAAGGTCCAGTAAGACTTATACATCGCATCAAAAACAATCAAATTAAACATTACAAGAATCCTAGTTGTCTCTTGTGCAATGGAGATGACCTCAACAACGCCTCGTGCGGACCAGCAGAATTTTCCATGCCAGTTTTCGAGCCGAAGTCGTTTGAGATGATTCTCCAGTTCCAGTCCATTCCGGGTATTATGCCGATCAGACCTGTCACTGCAATCAAACCGTTATGCGGTCAACATCAATTCTACGACGCGTCTCTCGAGGAATGTCGGGAAGGAATTCTACCAGATCCACTGCGATCTATAGTTGATACATTCCGAATAAAGGCGTGGTTGGCTCGTCGCGGTAGAAATCTCGGAAATGCTACGGGGGCTGTTTTAATGACTTCTATAGCGAAGAAAGTGGGCTTGTATACAAAGGGACTAACGTTGGTTTCAAATGAAATAGATGAAAAATCCCGGGCAGTTACATTCGATGTTCAAACGGTTCCCGGCAACCAGGCTAATTCAAGCTCATCTATTCTTAGCTTAACACGATTGTTTGATTTTAAGAAACCTTTTAATATTTCGATTAATGGAAGCCGGATATGGGAAGTAATCAAAATAACTCATCGCAGGCTGACATGCTCCAAACCTGAGATCTACCCACCTTCCAACTTCACAAGAAATAACACTCACTTTAATATCAATAACAACACTRTAATCAACGCTGACGCAAGGGGCGTACATTTAATCACTCAAAATCATTCCAAATATGGTATTTCTATTGGTTCGCTATTCTTGTGTAAGTCATTCTACGCCACAGCTTGTGGACCAGGCCAAGTGCTTTTGCAGCTTCAATCAAGTGACTATTTAATACAGAACGAAACGTTGCTGTTTGTGGCAGCAAATACCCATTATGAGCCTAGTCAATTTCAGCTTCAAGGAAACAGTGCTTGGGTATGTACCAACTACTCAAACATCACACCCACTGAGCCCATAGTTCCTTGGATCAGCAAGTTTGGTAATGATCAAGTTCTTTGGTATTTTACAGTATGTGGTTTGTCGTTGTCAATCTTGTGCTTATTCGTTCTTCTTGTCACTTATTTTACTTTCAAAGAACTACGAACCATGCCTGGCAAGAACCTGATGAGTCTCGCAATCTCGCTGTTGCTTTGCCATTTCATTTGGCTGCTGGGGTCTGGGGATACCGATAAGCCGGTGTTCTGTAGAGTGACGGCGGTGTTTCTTCACTATTTATTCCTCGTTTCSTTYGCTTGTACTTCAGTCATAGCGTACGACACTAGACGAGCCTTCCCCAAGAACAGTGCAGAYATGCCCAATGTTCTRTTCCCAGCAGCAAGCAAAACACGCTTTATTGCTTACCTRTTATTCTCATGGGGGGTCCCCTTGGTCTTTGTTGTCATATGTGTCGTCATCGAYCAACAGGGAGAGGTCTTCATTGGATACGGGAATGCGATAATCTGCTGGYTAACAGATATGAAGGCTCAGATATTATTTTTCGGAGTCCCTGTTGGTATTTTATTACTGTATAACCTAGTTGCCTTCGTGGTCACTGTCCAGGCTATTCGTGCAGCTAAACTTGGCTCAAAACACCTGCACCGACAAGGCACCAATCGCAGCCACGAGATTAAGATCTACTTCCGGCTGATGACTATTATGGGATTCACGTGGTTCTTTGGATTTGGTGCGCATGCGCTTCACAAGTTTTTAATGTACCCATTCGTGATCCTGACGTCACTACACGGCGTTTACCTCGCGTTTGCATTTGCATTCAAGCCATACGTCTTCAGTCTGTACAGAAACAGGTTTGCCAACTTAAACTTYCCCAATCGAAAGTCAACCCTCTCAACGGTCGATCTGACAACAAGCATGAAAAGCGTGCCGTCAAAGGAAACAGAGTCAGTGTTGTAGACTCCGCGACGCCTAGCACGTTTAGCATGGACGTGAGTTCGCATTTCACGTGACACTTGAAGTACTAAAATCACAGTCGGATAAAGACCTCTCAGACAATGAAGTGCCACGACATGATTCATGCTTGACAAATGCTTCACGACACGGAAACATTAGAAGAGGTTTAAGAACAAGCATGTCTCCTGCCCATGCTTTACATCTTAGATTACTCTGACACAAAAACACAATGTTTAGACGACCATTGGYATTGYCACGTCCCATCCACCAGTAAACAAACTCATTACTGAAATCATAGTTAGTACCAACTATACTGAAATCAACTGTTATATTAAATACTACAAGTGCATGTTAAACTTATTATGAAAACAGTCGAATTTAATCCGATTTACGCAAAAAAATGGGGACCAAAACGGGTGAAAAGTGGTTTCTAATCAAACATCGTCTTATGGGGGCAAAATAAAACGATGCATTAATGGGTTATGTCACGAAAATAAATTAAAACCTTTACTTAGACATTAATATTAGAAAGAACAGACACTTTAAACATTGATAAGGGTAAAGAGCTTTTCATTAATTAATGTCAAAACAATTTAATTGCATACAAAATCTACTAATTAATTTCTGTATATTGTTATATATCTTGTGGTTTACGATTAACTCAGTTAATAGTTCTTTCAGAGTCCGCACATATCAATGTATAGTATATTTACCAAACCAAACGTACATGAATGTCAGTAGGGCTCTGCATTGAGTTTTTCCTTCAACTTGACAGCGAATAACTGGGAAATATTCCATCCAAAGTTACTCAGCGTTGCATTTATTCTGTGACTGAAGTTTCTTTCACAAAATGCACACCATTGCGACATGACAGAGTTCAAAAATACTCTTTCTTCAAAAGAGTAAATCTTCAAAAGAGTAAAGAGATTATAGCTATTAACGTGAATACTATGACTCCAGCCTTGAACTCTTGAGAGAAGTGCCATCGCTTGTTTGTGTCCTTTAAAGTAAAATTTGTTTTTAAGTTATTTTGTATGTAAGAGTAAGAAAAAAGGACGTTAAAATTAGTGAATACAATCGATGATCATGTGAATAATCAGTATTTGTTAGTAAAATTATTATTATTGTAACAAATAAAAAAAAATTGGTGGTGTTCAAAATAGATTTTGTGGAATATTATGATTATGTTATTCTAAGCCGCCATTACCTTCTTATTATTACAAGACAAACACAATTTACAGCCAGTCAACAATAAATATCAATCAAAATTGCATTTAAATGGCAAACAAAATTTACAGCCAGTCAACAAGAATATCATTCAAAATTGCATTTAAATGGCATTTTGGCTGTAGTTAAAAAAGAACAATCATTTCATCAAACGATGCATCATCATTAATATCACATCAATCACCGATGATATAGCCATATCATGGACTTCACATCCAACAATCACACATATGAAAAAGGCAATATTACCTTTGTTGGTATTTGAGGGAATTGTTCTGAAAATTGGCGAGGCTCATTGTCACTTGGTGTAGTGCTGTCCCTATCACAGCTACTAGAACTAAATCAACAAAAAAGTAATCACAACTCATGTCACAACTGCATCTCTGTATACAGGGCAGTCCTTAGAAAGCCAGGGGTCATACAGTTTTTCACTCATGCCAATCTCCTCCAAGCTTTACTAAATAGTCTTTAGGTTTCCTAAGATACTCCAGGCTAATCCTACTTCATGATATGTGTTTACTAGTTAATCTTTGAAAATGTTATCCCTTATGACGAGGGTTCACTCCATGGCTGGTGTGCTATATTGTCTGCATCAGTATTGTCAATGATAACTCAGTCAATATCTCTTTATACCTGTATGTGCTTTCTTGTGTGATGTCTGAAAAGGTCACATTTGATATTTCAATTTCATGTACACTACCAAAGAAGTCTGTAATCAGAGTCTGATGAGAAGACAACAAAGCTTTAATACTATATCCATTGTTATTTAACATATCATCCAACAAACCTTGTGCATATCTCTTCTAAATAAATCAGTACGCACACCAGGGGTTGACATAACTAGACTAGGAGTAGTGTAATCAAACTATAAAACAAATGATAATATCATCTTTTACGTGAAGAAAAAGTCAATTAAACACTGTTATTAAATATAAAAGGTATTTCTTCCTGCTTCCCTTGAAATCCATACTCACCAGGTCTGCAAGAGTAGATTTACTGGAAGGTCCTATTCTTTCCAGGAACTGYAACAGGTAGTAGGTGTACCTGTCAATCACATGGACGCCAATGGCTGGGTCGTCATGGTGCTATAGTCATGTCAATAAAGATCGGTGATTTTACATTAACTAACCATACTGACTATAACTGTATTAAACATTAGCCATTGTTGAACACATGAATATTATTCTTACAGAGAGTGAATCTTCACCAATCAAGCTGCTACCCACTCCTACAATGTTTGGAGAATACATCTTTAAAGTCATGGAATATGCCTGGCAGCTATCCACAATGAAAAACATTTCATGGTATCTGTCAAAATAAGACATGTATTCATTTATTTTACTTCAAAATGTCTCTAGAGAACAATGGATATCACTGATGGCTACAGCATTTACCTTTGTTTTTGCCACATTTGTTCAAATGCATCACCGAGCTCTACACTAGTTATCTCTTCAGCATCCTGAAACTTGATGAAACCATCTCCACCATGACCTGAAATGCAAGAGTTTAGCATATTGGAAATTTTCCAAAGAAATGTTGAAAAATTTAGCAATATTTTGTTTATCTTTTTCACAGGTATGCTATTTGCACTTAACAATTGTTRATGCAACCACCCCAACACATCTCTCTGYATACATGAGGCAGCCAARATGATGATGATGATGAATRATGGTTTACCTGTCATGTAAATCAAGATATTGCTTCTCTCATCAGACAGGAGTCGTTTAGATCTTGGTACACTTTCTGGTAGGCGTCCTGATTGAAAAATCTGTCATTATACTTCATATTTTATATAATAAAGGCTATGAGTTATATCAATTACAACAATCAACTCACCAGTAAGAACCCTGATAAAATTTTCAGCTGTAACCTAGGAAACCAGTTTGCTTGTTAGTTCTAAWAACTTCACAAAAACTTGTSAAGCTTCCAGACCATGTATTAATGCCARTAAAGAATCTCTCTTAATACAAAATATAACATGCAATAAAATATTGATAAATGTTTATGATAATAGAGTAATTATAAGTGCTGTAATAACAKACCTCATATCCCCTGTAATCCACCTCTACATCATCACCATAGACATTGATATGCTGATTGACATTATTGAACACAGTTCCTAATGAAAGAGTGAGTTGTAGTGTGAAACAGTCAATGAAAACCCAACCACAATGGATAAAGACAAAAACTACTTGTAACATTGAGATGTTTTGACAATTTATGTTTTTGTCAGTTCGTTTATTTGTGCATTATTTCAAAAGTTATATGATACATGAAGTAAACTAAGTTATTAATATTTCATCAAATCATTGCTTTATTTAATTTATCCATACTCTTATTCATCCCATTCATTCATCCATCCATTTCCTGTTTTTATATTGTATATATGAAGACTATAGCTTTGATCACAGCATCTAATCACTTATAAATGCATAAAAGATACCTGGTCTTGGATTCCTTGGATTGCAAGGCATATCATCGGCCATCATCAGAATAATATGACTATCAAAGAARGACACCAAGCAAGTTACAAAAAGTTAATCTTAGTATCATCGAATGCATGTAATTTCACTTCACAAATACCTGTCTGGAATACCCAATCTTTTTACACTACGATACACAGACAGCACGTTAGCGATATGTCTATAGTTGAACCAAAACCTGGAAGTGCAAACCTGCATAAAGATCAACACATTATCAACATCATATAAGCTTACTTAAAGCATACCAATGTACACATGACAAAATTCAGGTGATTTGCTGAAACAAATACCWACCAAAACTGCCCAGTTATTTGTATGCCCTCTCTGAAATACTTTATCCAAGGGAGGAGTTTTCTGTCCGTTAATACATGAAATAATAGCTAAAATAATAAGCAGGCAAAAATATGTCAAACTGGCCGCCATTTTGGATATTAGAAACGCGGGGTAGACTGGGTAATAAAACCCGAACATTTCACGAATACACTACGATTCATTCCGAACCAAATAGTCCTTGAAGTGTTTATTTTATCTGATATAATATTAACTTTTCTKTAATAACTTTTTGTATTATATTCAAATCGTTGTAATAACTATATATCATGATTTTTTTTCAATAATATTTTTCTTGTATCCCAAATCAAACACTAATCAACGATGCATGATGTTGGCATGGTAACTTCAAGCAGCACAATTATAAGGACATTATACTACATGGTGGTCGCGGACAAGGTTTATTTCAGAAAACGTTMTATAAATGGAGCTATAGACTAAAATTATCATGACTGCCGAAGAGAGTAAAGATTATATGGCAAGAACTGAGGTTCATCARCTTTTTGAGGTGAGTTTATGTCGTTAATGTCGAGTCTGTCTCCGTTTCTCCGGTCAAATATAATGTTTATTTGTTGTCGAGAACATGTTATATCCAGATGATATCCCAGTTACTCCCAGCTTTGTACAAAACGTAAATTGTCGCTATGATATTACCGTTTGTTTGCTCAATTTTCTGCAATTTTAAAAGGTGAATTCACCGTGTTTGATTGGCAAAATATATTCAAACATCACTCTATGTCGAGACCTGATTCTACATGTATATCGTACGATATAAAGTATACGGTGCAACCTATAAATATACGGGGAAATATTTTAACAATATTTTAAATTTGAGTAGTTTTTTTTATAATCAGCAATTTAAGCTTAGTATTTGACCGCTTTAGCAGTTCATATAACCAACCGTCACCAATTCATTACAGGCGGTCGTAATAATCTATTCCTATAGAAATTTCCCGAAAAATACGCAAATGATCTTGTTTTCTGAGCAGTTTTCTAGTTCAAGCGAATGAGACCTTAAAACGAGTTTGTTATCTCACTTGCTGCCAGTGTTTGGACAAAAGATAAGACAGATAAACTATAAACACAATATGTCCATATTGTAATTACAGGGAAAGAATTAGTAAAGTCGTGATTAAGATCATGAAATCGTGCGCCATTAGACTTGGTGGCTCTTGCTATGAAAAAGCTCGTTTTGTTTAATCATCCCATTACATTACAATAAAAGCATTTGGGTCTCAACAGGTGAAATACAATTCGAAATAAAAAGAAAATGAGTTTTGAATGGGAAACTGGAACAAAACGAAAGAAATTATCAGAATGCAGTGCAAACATGGAAATGGGAATGTTATTATGAAAGAAAAAAACGATCAAATTGAGAAGAGATATTTCAGTTTTTTGTGAAATAATTAAACTTTCTGACTTTATTTAAATAAGTACATTTATATGAAACAAGGGGAAGTCAAATAGATTTACAAATCTACCAAATGCACTTTGTCTGCACTGACATTTATGTGCTATAAAGCAGAGACTTCTAAGGAGTACAGATACTGCTCAGCAGGCAATAAAATTTATTGTATTATTTTGATTTCAGGGGATGTTAACTGGCTTACTATACAACAAACCAGAAGACCACCTTAGTTTCCTTGAGCAATGCATAGCAGTTGCAAAATCTGAGAAAAATGACATCAAATGGAACACATTTTTGGATCTGAACAAAAAGCCCCTACCACCCATCCCCAAGGGTGACGGACCRCTAAGATCAGAAGGGMAAGAGGAAGATAAAATTGCAACATTTGCCACAGAACCAGGSGTTGAGATCAAGAGTAAGCAGCCATTACCACCRATAGGAGGAAGAAGTATTGATGACGATGAAAAGGACTTGACAGAGAAAGATATTATTACTCCTGTTGAATCTGATGAAGAAGAGGAGGAGGTTGAGGTGGAGTTTTCAGGACAGAGAATTGTRTATGTACTGGGTAAGCTGACTAATTGGGATCCCTGTAGCAAATATTTCATGCCACAGGTATCCCAATAATAAAATCATGTTGTAACAATTAAATTTGTGTGCARGGACTGGTTTCTATTTATTGAAAGATTGATAATCTTCTGCTTAGGGAAAAACTAAGTATAATGTCTAGACTTCATCTTCACTGAATTATAATAATTTATTCATAAGTTCTTCACTTTGATGCTGAATATTTTTCTCAGCCTCACATATTTAATCTACTTCTCTCTGCAGGAGGACCTGGTGCAGGTAAAGGAACGATATGTACYCGCATCGTGAATAAGTATCATTACTGTCACCTATCAGCAGGAGATCTACTTAGAGCAGAAGTTGCTAAGGGTARCGAGAGAGGGCAAATGATTCAAGATATTATCAGAGAYGGCGCATTAGTTCCACAAGACATCACAATATCACTACTGAGGGATGCAATGAGAGAGAATAAAGATGCRCCAGGWTTCTTGATTGATGGATTTCCAAGAGAGATTAGTCAAGGGGAGCAGTTTGAGCAAGAGGTCAGTGATTCTCATTATAGAATACGACGTTTTTTCCAGTAAATTCTTACTCAATCATTTCCACATTTGCTTGATTTTAAACTGTGTCCAGGCAATTTCTTTTTAAGGATTTTAATTAATTTTAATTTTAAGAAAACTCCATCCAAGATGATCATGGTGTCGGTTATATGATAATGATTACATGATGATGATGATGATGATGATGATGGCAATGATGATGCATTTCATACAGTGATGATTGTAGTCTGCTATATTTCATTACGAACACTGACCAGTTAACATTAAATTGTTTTTCTAGGTGGTAGATAGCGATTTTGTGCTGTCATTTGAGTGCAGCGAAGAAGTGATGAGAGAACGAATCTTAAAACGTGCTGAAACAAGCGGTCGTGCTGATGACAATGAAGAATCAATTAAGAAACGATTCGTTACCTTTCAASAAAAAACGATGCCAGTAATAGAACATTATGATAAAATTGGCAAAGCGCACAGGGTAAGATGCAGAAATTATAAATGCGTATTCTTCATTTACTGTACTTTATTCATTTACGGTTAAAGTGTTAGCTCGCTCATTTTATTCCCATTCATTTGTTGTTGTCTATTGTGTTTCATTCATTCTCACTTTTGGATTGTCAGATCGACTCCAATCGAACTGTCGATGAAATATGCTTGGACGTGTGTCGTATATTTGATGGCCTCCCGCCAAAAATCCGTAAAACTATTCGACGTAAGAAGAAAAAAGCAGTCAAAACAGAAGAACAGGAAGAGGAAGAATGGGGAGAATTCACAGGACAAAGAATTGTCTTTGTTCTTGGTAAGAGTCTGATATTTCACAATGTAAACAAACTATAATACATACACATACGTTCACTAACAAATACGTTGAATCCACGCGTGTGATAAATTTACGCACGAACATATTCTAACGTACAATTCACGTTTAGGTGGACCTGGTTCCGGAAAGGGTACGCAATGCGCACGTATTGTAGACAAGTTTGGTTACGTGCACCTCAGTACYGGAGATTTGCTGCGGAATGAGGTTGAAAAAGTCACTGAAAGAGGAAAGAAACTGSAGGAAATCATGACTTCAGGACAACTAGTATCGCAAGTAAGTACATAAMACGTTAATTTGTCRTTTAGTGCGAGACGTTACGTCTTTTTCTATGRTTGCGCATAAYYTTGACGGTGATCGTATGTCCTAGAGCTMTGAATGYGGCATGAACCGTACGTATGCTGTACTTATAAGACTACGTTATACAGTTTTATACAAATTTTCTATATAAACACAATGGTATTTCTAACACGATGGACACTAAAGTCATTWTGTGCTAAGTGGAGATTTTAATGCGTAAGTGTTTCATTCTCGTACAGGATATCGTGATAGAACTGTTACGAGACGCAATGCTAAGTCAGCCAGAAGCATGTGGCTTCCTTATTGACGGTTTTCCCAGGGAAATATCACAAGCGGTTCAGTTTGAAGACGAGGTAAGCTCATTCTTGTACATCCATCAGTATTGGTGAAGTTTTTAATCAATTTATTCCTATAGGTGGTCGAGAGTCATTTCACATTATACTTCGAGTGCAGTGAAGAGGTCATGGAGGAGCGTTTAATAAAACGAGGTGAAACAAGTGGACGTGCTGATGATAACTCTGAAACTATCAAGAAACGTTTTAAYACATTCTTAGAGAAGACAATACCTGTCATTGAACACATCCAAAAGCAAGACAAATTAAAAAAGGTATGACTAGTCTCCGTGAAGGGAAAATGCGTTTGGAAGTGGACGGAACGGACAAAAAACTATATTGGGAGGAATGGGCTAAAGGAAAAATGGGCTAAAGGAAAAAAAACTTTGATCTAAGTTTACATGGTTTCTCATTCACAGATTGATGCCAACCGTACGGTTGATGAGGTATTCCAAGATGTGTGTGCAATATTTGGTGATCTTCCAAAACTTGAACGCAAAAGAAAAGGTCAGTTTCATGCAATGTTCCTGTGTACAAAATTCATCCATGACTTCATCTTCTCGTTTATGACCGACAATAGGTAACACTATCAACAATTAAATTTACACCCACAACAACAGCACCAATAGCRTGCAATTCTAACACTCGAAACAACTTCAAATGATTAAGRCGTTGTTRAATGAACAAYATTCTTGTTACGGGTCCAACATGATRCRCAAAACTACTTGTATTCTGATATGTGTTGGAAATCCTTTGTCATTGCAGTTAAAAAAAMTGAAGATTCAGAAAGTAACGATGACTTAGCAGACCTATCGGAAGAYTTAGATCGTGTTATTGCAGGCAAACCATTCAAAAAGCGCCGATACAAGAAAAAGACTAAATCTCAAGAAGAACAGCCTCCTCCCGTCATGGAGGAACAAATCATCGCWGAGGAATTCATTCCTCTTGGTGACGATGAGATCGCTAAAACTGGTAAAGGATTGCTGAACGCTCGTGTCATCTTTGTAATAGGTATGTGAAYTGTRTTTMTTTTTTCTTGGCTCTGACGTTACGCAGGAGCCATGTAAAATACGTAGACTTYCACAGCGTACTCTATCTTACGTATACAATTTACGTTTAGGTGGACCTGGTTCTGGTAAGGGTACGCAGTGCACACGTATCGTGGATAAGTTTGGTTATATACATCTCTCTACTGGKGATCTCTTAAGACAGGAGGTTGAGTCAGGCTCACAGCGAGGACAAAAYATAGCTGAAATGATGGAAAATGGTGAACTAGTTCCTAATGTAAGTTAACAGAAAAGGGTCGTCGTCTTGAGTTCAAAATAGACAGGTCTTCAAACCATGCTACAGCCATCTACACTATGATATTCTGGATAATCCATTAACGTACAGTAGACAGTTAAATRATCCTATGAAATGTTTTACAGGGGATTGTACTTGAACTACTGCGGCTAGCAATGGTAAAACAGCCAAACACAACCGGATTTCTAATTGATGGATTTCCCAGGGAACTAGAGCAAGGATTGGAGTTTGAGAAAGAGGTAAGAATTTCCCATATACGTATAATGTCTATCAAGCAAGTTTGCAAACTAATTTATTCATCTTKTTTTGCTTCTTGATTATTTATTTGCTCAGGTTGCGGTGCTATTTTKGTCTGTTTGTTGTTGTTATTATTGTTTATACAATTTGAAACATGTTTCGTCTTTCTTTGGTTATTTGTTTCGCCATTAAACACATTTAGCAATATTAAAGACAAGCTCTTCCTTGTTTTCAGCTTGCTCCGTGTGAATTTCTTCTCTATTTCGACTGTGCACAAGATACAATGAAGGCTCGTTTGTTAAAGAGAGCCGAAAGCAGTGGTCGAGTTGATGATAACGAAGAKACCATCAAAAGTAGATTAGAAGTCTTTGAACAACAAACTGTACCTGTGATTGAACACTACGAACAACAAGAAAAAGTCAAAAAGGTATGAATTTATGTCTGAAATTGTTTTTGTAAATATTTTGTGTTTTTATTTTTAATTTCTTCTCGACGATTATCGAGCTCACGCTTTCACATGAAGTTTCGCATGCTTTTCATCTATAGCTTCTGGATACGGCTTACAGCAAAATGAGAAACGAAACGAAACGAAACGAAATGGTTTCGCAATTTACAGTTTTCTCACCAAAATCTGTAAATTGCGAAACCATTTCGTTTCGTTTCGTTTCGTTTCGCATTTTGCTGTAAGCCTCTGGATACTTTTCTTGGAAAAACGTAGCGCACAAAGTTGTCGACATCAAGATATTCCTTCTCATTGTAAATCTAGACGAAGGGAGTAAGAACTCTCCTTGCGCAAATCAATACTACAGTTGAGCAAATATTCATTGTGAGAAATGTGCTTTATTTATGATAGTGAAAATTTTCTAACTCCTAGATTTCWGCGGAAGGCAGMGTAGACGACGTATTCAACGAAGTGTGTCAAATATTCGAAGCGCTTCCAACTCGCAAAGCTGCTTCGCTTCATGACTTTGAAGTTGTCTTCGTTGTTGGTAAGTACAAAAMCTCYTAACCCTACCCTCCTTGCTGATTAAATAATTTGTTATTGCTATGGACACACAGGAATCCCGTTGGTAGCTAACATTGTCACCCTGCTGATTATATCTACCCTACCCCTAGTAAGGATTGTTATTGATTACTACCCTACCCCTAGTAAGGATTGTTATTGATTACTACCCTACCCCTAGTAAGGATTGTTATCTATTATCATTCCATGCATCCAACACAGTATCAATCTGTTTATCAGGGGGTCCTGGTACTAATAAATCTGAACTTTGTAAACTTTTGGCCGAGAAGTCCCAACGAACCCATATATCCATGGGTCAAGTGCTTCGCGCTGAGAGTGAAAGAGACTCKGARAGAGCGAAGGAAGTGGCTGAAGCTTTGTCTAAGGGTGATCTCGTATCATCGGTGAGTAAGATAGTTCATATATACCTTACACCATTCGTCTGTTATTGTTTGTTCATCCTACTGTTYATTTAAACACCTACTCAATGGATTGCCCGTTCATCTCATTCATTTTCTCATCCATTTATTCATTTAAACTCTTTCAAAACCTTCACAGTTTATCATTGCTTAACCCTACTTATGTTGTCAAAGAAAGATGACTCTATTGTAAATATAACCGCGAACTATTGTTTTAATGTTCTAAATCTGTACAATAATTTAGACAGCTAGTATATCTTTTTGTTATAGCTAATTTTTATGTTCTAATGTGGCATTTCTGGTATTTATGGAATAAAGAATTTTTTTCGTTAATCCATCTTTGTTTATTCATCAGAAATACATAAATATGTACATAACTATGTACTTAACTATGTACATAACTATGTACTTCTGTTATTCATCCATTATTTACAAAAAATATTTGATTGGGAATATCCGTAGGATCATGCCATAGCGATTCTAACCGAGAAACTGACCAGCGAAGAAAAGAACTTTTCTGGTTATGTCATCGAGGGATACCCAAGAACAGACGACCAGTTGACAAACTTTACAGAGAGGGTAAGTTTGCTTCGGTCGACCCTCTTATTGCCGATTAATTATGACCGGTCGAATACATGAGGTATTGAATATATCCTGTCTTTATCAATAGGTGTCAGATTTTAGTCATCTTATTATCTTGGAAAGCTCTGAAGAAGAAATGCTTGAAGGTGGTAAAGAGGAAGGAAAAGAAGAATTACTTCAAAATAAGATTAAAGTTTATCAGGAAACAACGAAACCGTTTATTGACGATTGGGAGAGTGAACGAGTTGTCAAGGTAACGTAATGGCCGTATGGATTTACATAAGGCCTCATCTGCCTTATCCGTGTAATCAGGTTACGCTGTTAAAGAGGCAGAAAGTAAAAACCATAAACGAGAGCAACTYAACATTATAAATAGAGTCATCTCACTTTTTCTAACTCACTTCTTTCTCTTCTAGGTCTCCGCTTCACAAACTTTAGAAGAGCTGTTTGAGAAAACCAGTCCGTGTATAACCAAGCCTGAGTAACATCGTATTAAGAATAAAGCCTTCCGCAAGATTGTAAATAATTTTATGGATGAATTCTCCTACTGTCACAGGCAGATGGCACAACATAGATGCACTTAGTCAAAGTGTTCTTCATGAACAAATGTTTGTCTTAGATAGGAAGCCAGGTTTCTTCACTGGTGCCAACAGGAGAGAGTTGCAAGCAACATTGCTTTGGCGAACACTGAACAAATCGCCACACAAACTGACCAAGACATGAATACGCCCTATAAACTAAACTTGTAAAAATTATGCATACGCAATGAATAGAGAGTACGTCAGGAAACAGTAGGGTTATYTATAAGACGTTTTGAAAGTAGATCCAGCACAACTTTTATTTATTTAAAAAACTTTGGATTTCATTGACTTCCTTGTTTGGTGCTTAAACGTTGCTCATTTGTTATCAGATAATCTATTCTARGCATCTTCCGGTCCTCATATGCAATGAAGATTAGCAAAGACGCAATTTTCAGTAGAATACCACGTGGTTTGAAATAGGATAACATTGCCGTGCACAAGTTGAGGAAGTCTAGATCTGTTTCGGTCTGCGTTAGGGTTCATGACATTACTGTACAGTAGTCTTAAAAAGGGTAAAAAACAGCCTACATGCATGCATTATTTTAACTAGTAAATCTCAGAAATAAAATCCTGTTGTATTTATCGTTCAGTTGGGAAATAACTCTAGTATAGTTTGTTGTAGAATTGACTTTATTTTGACGGGAGAATTCAGTCATTTAGTAAGGATATTAACGTCCGTTTTTTTTTTCCTGACACACCTGTATATTTATACTATACTGCCAACTTATTTTACACTGAAATACAGTCTTCTTTTAATACAGCTTTCTTGATTCGTTTATTTACCTCCCTATACAATCTTCCGTGACATTTAGCTATATCTCGACTATCATCAAGCAAGGTTTATAACAATAATGATGATTTAACAGTGAATATGCTGGAAGGTAAAACAGTTGCATATATCAAATAAGAGATACTTTGAATAGTTTTGACATAAAATCAAACGTCTATTTTTGAATGTGTGTAGCATCTAATAATAACAATTTAGAAGTGTTTGTGATCATAAGTGACTTAATTCTTATTACAAATAAAACTCTGATTGTTTTTTTTTTTATAAAATGGTATCAGCGGTGTCGAAGGAACGATCCGTTAGTTGTCAACGTTCAACTTCATCTGTCATCACTTTTTCCGCGTCAAGTCTTTATATTGACTGATTAGACCGGAACATAAAAAACGACTGTACGAACTATTGAAAACTTATTGAAAATGGTTCACCAATGCTGTGGATTTCAATGTACATTTTTTAATCATAAGAAAAAATGATRTTTTCTCTTGTTTTTCGTTGTTCGGTGAGGACACGATCCGTCGATGCGTGTCAATTGTCGTTAAGGGGTTTAGTACGTGTCTTCATGGTTACTGAATCAATTCTGAATATACAGACATCTGATTTTTAAATGATAATTTATGTTATAATTAATAGCTTTTTTACATGCCCTTTGTCTAATCTTGTGATCATCTGTCTTTTTCTTGTGTATTTGAATTATTCAGAATAAAGAATAACACATTTATATTACGACGTTTCAAAGTCAATAGAAAACAAGATGTGCYAAAATCAGAATACGTCCACAGTATTGCGTTTTGTAATCTTCAAGACAAGGATTTGAAAATAATACAAAAATACTACAAAAACGCGCGAGGTGAATGAAACCTTGTAGTGCTAATGAAAACGCTTGTTTAAGGCCTCATAATTGATTGGATATTCGTTCATACCTTCATTGTGTGATACGAATCTCTGAATGTTGTGTCGGTATGGTTATATCGTCAAAAAACTGTATGAAAACCCAATATTTCATCTTGGTTTATTGTAAGACTCTATTAGGATCGCTTTAAGAAAAGAACAAWAGTTAGTTTCGATCTCGTTCAATAATAACCACTCGGCCAGAAACTCATCCGCTTTACGAATCAGTTACGGCTTTCAAACATTTAAACTGTAATCTTTTCAGTTAAACTGGCTTAATCTATCGTATTGATTGAAAAAGGGAGAAATGATACCAAAAATATAAAATAAATTATACAAAAAAAATTAAAAACCGGAAAAGGAATCCTTGCGCATTCAAGAATTCCGKCATACYGTCATTAGCATTTTTCTTCAAGGCGACTCTAAAAGTTTGAAAAAGTTTGTAAACTTAGTGTCAACAGCCATTTACAGGGGTAAATAGATTAACTTAAATTAAATCATCAATACTTTGAAACCAAAGTAAAGTGTTTAAATATATGAAGATTATATCGATCCCGGAAGACGATTCGTAACCGTGAGAAGAYCGTTACGTTTACGTCAAACTACGTAGCGCAGTTCCTTTGAGGCAAGCCTATGGTGCAACTTCGTGACACTGATAATAATATCACGATAATGGAATCCAATATGCAATCACCTTTGTGATGCAATCCTGGTTCTATTAATAATAATATAATTACATTTTAGCTCCTTTGTGACGGAATCCTGATRCTAATAATAGCGATATGATAGAATAGAGTACGTCTTGTCATCATCGTTAACATATTCTCAGTTTTTCCCCTAGTTTAACCAGACAAAAGACTTAGAAGTAAAGTCAATATCGAAGGSAACGGATGGATGKWAACAGCGCTGAAACTAGCACGCGCGCATTTCCAAAATGGATGCTTTTAGGATTTGATAAGATGGTATTAAAATAGAAATAATAATAATAGAAAATGGGGGATATCACTGTGAGTATAAAAGCAGCCATCATTCACAGCAAACTTCACAGTGGACAGTACAGTAAAGTTCTMGTAAGACCACAAACAGAAACACGAGAAGAAGAGAAGCTATTCGATGGATTGGCTCACATCCATTATCAAGGTGATCATCCCATACAATGATGTTGTAAAAAATACTATATGAAAACAATGTTAACTCAATCTGTTTTTATATCAGGTCCTCTTCATTTACGCCCTTGTTACCTTACTTTTGGGAACTCTTTGTTCTTCCAAGCCGATGCAGTCTGGGTCCATCCTTGAAAACCAGCACAGTCAAGCCGAAAGCGTCAAACTAGAAACGTTACCAAGACAACGCCGAGATGCTGRTTGTGTTGACAAGACAACAAAGAAATTTGTCAAGGCCTTGAATCGTCATTTCAATGTTGTTACATGCAAAACTGGATGTTTCCCGGTAAGATCACAGTATCTTCTACCCAATGGAAAATATACCCAAATTGTCACGAAGTGCGTTAAAGCAATAACCGCGTCGCTAAGACAACGCCGAGATGCTAGTTGTGTAGACAAGACAACAAAGAAGTTTGTCAAGGCCTTGAATCGTCATTTTAATGTTGTTACATGCAAAACTGGATGTTTCCCGTTAAGATCACAGTATCTTCTACCCAATGGAAAATATACCCAAATTGTCACGAAGTGCGTTAAAGCAATAACCGCGTCGCTAAGACAACGCCGAGATGCTGATTGTGTTGACAAGACAACAAAGAARTTTGTCAAGGCCTTGAATCGTCATTTCAATGTTGTTACATGCAAAACTGGATGTTTCCCGGTAAGATCACAATATCTTCTACCCAATGGCAAGTATCTTCATATCGTCACGGAGTGCGTTAAAGCAGTGACTTCGCTAAGACAACGCCGAGATGCTGATTGTGTTGACAAAACAACAAAGAAGTTTGTCAAGACCTTGAATCGTCATTTCAATGTTGTTACATGCAAAACTGGATGTGTACCCGTGAGGTCAAAGTATCTTAAGCCCAATGGCAAGCCTATTTTTATCGTCGAGGATTGCAAGAAACCCAAATCTTAATATTTATCAATAATTATCAATATTTATAATAATTATCAATATTTATGAATAATTATATCAATTATTGAATATTTTCTAATAATTTAGATTTGAATTGTAACGCCATATTGGTGAGCATCAATACAATGTCAAACATTGTCCAGTGTATAATGATGTTTCTATTGGAATAAATGACATATATAATTATCTGCTTGTCTTGATAACAGATAAGGTCACGTGACACTATTTGTATATTCGCGGGCCCTTASAAAAATATCACAGAGGAGCGATTAAGGTAGCTCCATACATGCATAAAAGAGTGTCTACTATRAAAGTAATAATGTTAWTCAAAGCGCGCATTTAATAGAAGCGACCGTACGACCATAAGCAGYGTGTGASCAGTGAAGATGAAACAACATGAAAAGTGAACAAGTACCATTCTTCCAGGAACAATATCCATGCATTTTCCTGGTACATTTTATTGTATTCGATGTGAATCGAGTTTATAGTCTTCTTTATATCACAACCTTCAACCTTTGTCTCCTAACTTTTAGAATGGTCCCAGTGCGCATGCTCTGATATGGTATTTCCCACATTACAACTTTCTGGTACAGTACTGTAAACTCAGACAGTAACAAATCATACGTCTGTTAATAAGATAACGAGAAACGAGCATTTAAAAGGTTTTATTTAAAGTTATATTATAGTTCGATCAGATGATTGTGTATTTTAGAAGAAGAAATGTATAAGAAAGCACGTTTTGAGTGAATTAAGTAACACTATAATTAAGGGATCAATGAAAAGAGACGATTTAGATTCAATTTAGATCAACCTTAAGCCACATAACACGTAACCGAGTGTTCAATGACAAATCACATATTTTCTAGAGATTGAACCATGGTTGATATCGCACGCATAGTTTTGATAATTTATCTGTTTTGCCTGTTATTTTCTTATTGTTAAGGTGTTTGTATTATCGGCTCGTAAAGCGTTGCTGTGGAAACGGCCCCCTGAGGACATTTCATACCAATTAATATTCAACAAAAATCGAACACGGTTTGCAATGGTCAACAAGGTCGATAAAGTGAGTAAAGAAATCGTACGTATTTTGATATTCACTTAAGCGAAATGTTTTCTTAYCAAGGTAATGTAATTGCTGGTCATTAATATCATTAATTTCTTGGTGAAATGTTATGTTTTTCCTTGATATTTCACAAGTTAATGTTAAGTTAGTTCTTTGAAGTTAGTCGGGAATGTTCATTGTTTAGAAAACTTTGTATGACTTTTGATTCTATTGATTGAAGGCTTCTTCGATAAGAAAAAAGCTGGATTGAGCTTTTTTGATTTAGCTTCCCGTGAGAGAGATTTCGACTTGCTTGATGACATGCAGGAAATAGTAGAATTTGTAATGTCAATTTGTCTTGTCTGATGAGGCTACCATTTGATGATTCATCGGCTAACAAGTGCGGTTTATTTCCATGTAGTTAACATGCAATGATAGATAAAACTAGCAAAACAAATCCACTGTTTAATACTATACTTTAATCCTGCCGTACTTATCTGATTTGAGAACAATTTAAGGGATCACAAGAACCTGTACGYATTACGAGTGTCTGAGAAGTCATTACGTCCGTATAACCAACATAAAAAGGGTTATAAATTGTTTTTAAGGTAAAGTATACTGTTAAAAGTCATTAATTTGAGTGTAAACTCATGATTTCAGGTTCAAGATGATAGCACAGGGAATGGCGGAGGGACGGCGATCAATAGACAACTCAACAACAACCCGATGGCGAGGACTTAAGACCTCTCAACTTCATAATAACAATTCTAATCAAAATAACTCCAGACCAGTTCTTCAGGAACGTGAATCAGATTTAGCGGCTTACGATGATGTTGATATCAGTCTTATTCAAACAAGAACTTATCTACTTTCAGCAGGGATCGGAGATACTAACAARCAATACAATAAATACAAAGGGAAAATAGGACTTGTGCTATGGTGTATCAATATTTTAATCCATTTTACTCTGGATTTCTACGAGGCTTGGACGATATTTGGTACTGCTTGGGCGACYTGTATTGGCTTGTTTCTCTGTACTCTAGTTGTTTGTTGTGTTTCGATGATCCGGCATTCCATTCCATGGTTTCTGCGCGGTGTTAAAAAGTTAAAGAAAGATGGAAACTACCCCAAGACATTGAGCCGTGTGAGACTGATGGTCCGGGTAAGTTTTACCCTTGATGTTGATTTAGCCTAATGTGCGACTTGGTAAACACTGTCATTTAGAACTCGCGCATGAATTTCATGATCTATTAATTCAATTATACTCAACCGAAAAAAAACACTTACAAAAGAATCTACTAAAGATAAAAATTTCCTCAATTTTTTCGGTGTCATTTTCTAACTCATATTTTTTCGTATATTCCACGAGCAATGTTTCTATGCATGTAAGCCATTGTTTTTAGTTTGTTTTAAGTACGTTTGTTTGCTGGAGATTCGATTTAATCATGTGCGAAAATTAAACAAGTGTCATAAAATCTGTAGATGTAAAAAAGTGTTTTGAAAAACGCAGAATAAAAGAGAATTATGCTAATCATCATTGAAATTCACTTAAACTCGAAACCATTAAAATGCCATGGTAACATTTCATTGGTATCCTTCGTGATTGATGTCATTTGATTGGTATTCTAATTATCTTTTTTTTAATGATATTGTACTTTCGCACAGTCTTTCACAGTCAAAAAATTCTTTTCATTTCTATGTATTATCCACAGCAGCTCATTTCTGACCGGGTCACAGTCGGCAAACTCTGTGTAGTCATTGTTGTGATTCATGTGTTGTGAAGTTTCGGTGTTTAGCTAGCCGTAGCTATCATACTTTACTTGTCAAAAGTAGATTTTAAGTCTTACTGAAGATTAACATGTCTGTACGAGCTCCTCGTTYAGGTTTTGATATTGTGTACTGGACTCAGCGTGCTTTAGTCGGCTATAAAGTGCAAAGGGAAAGATCAAAATAATTAGAAAAGTATCCATTGAGAATTGGAACAATGTTAGTTCATTAMCCACGGCACGGAGTCTGGTGAATAGTCGTTCCAACCAATCGAACTACTAACGAAATATCTAGACTAGAGAGCATTCAGTATCGTGAAATGGTTCGTTGTAACCTAAATTTGGAAAATTAGTGAAAAATCCTTAGTTGTTTAGATATAGACTGCTTAGTGGATCTAGGCGAGCATGAGAGGGAGGCCGCGACGCAGAGGACGTTAAAAATGTTAGTGCAATTTTCTTAMAAAATGTTTCACTACCCACAAACCAATTGCAACAATTGAGGCTACCTGTAGAACTAAATTTGCCGGACTCCAAAAAACACGATACTTAATCGTCATGTTTGTCTTTGCCGTCTCCAGGAAATCGCTTTTAAAGTGCATATTCTAAAGAGAGCACTCGAGACTATGATAAATTGATTTAAGAATTTGCATGATTTATGTTTCTCTGAARAACKCTTGTAGTTCTRCGTGAGTCAAGAAAGTATATGACATTTTCTATGAGGGGAATAAATCTTTGATCATGCAACTCTGTAGATGTTRACAWTTCATCAAGCTGTTTTTCGTGTCAAAACTTTTTGATTTATTATTWTATTTTGCGTGGTTTTGATGTAAGCAAACCAGTGATCGATCACGTTCTTCGAGCATCCGCATCTATAAGTCGTTGATTATGGTCTGCGGTTTTAAGGGATTCAGGAATAATACTTTTTGATCTCTGTACTGATCGTAATGGGTAGCGCGCATGTCTTAAGTGTGAAATGTACTGACAAGGACGTACAACTGGAAAGGCTCAAAAAACGGCGTAGTGGCCATTAACAATCTTATACATAGGCTGCYTTAGAAATAGGGGGGTTGTTTTTTCATAATGAGGACTAAACTAACTCCATGCACAGTGTATATATAGTGTGTTAGAAATGGCTGCTAGTATGAGCAGTAGATACAAACATGTTMATAACAAATGAATTTTTACTAAATAGTACAATAGTCATAGAAAAAAAGAAAACCGGACCCTTAAAGGGGGGGTTCGTCCGAACCCACGAACCTCCCCAGCCTACGGGTCTGCTGGTCTATACTAGTAGTTGTGACTTATTATTTTGTTCACAGTTTATGCCTTTTGGTACTGTGGTATTCGCTATTGATGCTGGTCTATACTAGTAGTTGTGACTTATTATTTTGTTCACAGTTTATGCCTTTTGGTACTGTGGTATTCGCTATTGGCGCCGCCGCTGGCCAGTTTGGTTGCTATGCTGCAGACAACGCCCTTCGAGTTAACTTCAACCGGAATAACAGTGTGGTTGCTGTGCCTCAAGAAGTAGAGAYCTTCATTAATGTCCTTCGTGCCACTAGTTTAATTCACATATTTTATGGTTTTGCGTCGCTTCTTCTTTTCCATATGACCCTTGTGTTTATGATACAAAGCTCGATGAAGGAGTACAACGGTAGGTGTCTGTCATAACTGTCCTTCCCTTGTATCTCTGTCTGTCTGTCCTTCTCTTATCTAACTTGCTGTCTCTGTGMGGTGTGTTTGGTTTGTTTGACAATATGMAGTACGTTTATTGTTTCTTTCAGAGAGGATGGGTAAACTATTTCGTGAGGTGCCCATCAAAATTGAGTTTTCTGAGGCTGTCAACTTATTCTCTGCTCGAGCTAAGTTTGTACGAGATGGAAGTAAAAAAAGCTCGGTGAGTTGAGAGGTTTTTAGTATAATTGTATTGTTCTTCCCCAGTCCCCAACTCTCAGTGCGAGGGTACATTTCCCAACGTACATTGCTGGCTACGCTGGTCATTGCGTTGATTTTGGTTCGTTTTATTCGCTGAAATAAACAATTCGTTGGTCCAAAGCCTTTTTCAGTATAAAAGATGTRTCGATACAAAGTCATGTTGTTTAACACTCTCTTTGAATTTTAATTCTTTTTTAGATTGTTTTGACAACTTTACTTGTTGCTTGCTGTACGTCGTTTGTCCTCAATGCTTATAACTTCTTGTTCTTCAAAAAACATGCGATTTACATTTGGTTCGCTCTCGCACCGTTAATATGGGCTGTYACTCCTTTAATGGGAGCCGCCTGGATAACAAAGACATACTGGCAATACAAACTGGTGGTAGTCAATGCATGGGTTGATATCCCGGATGAGCATGAACTCGAGGCTCAAGCACATGCATCTCTTCACCAGTCTCACGCGGATGATAAAAACCCCAAGGCCCTGGGAAAGAAGGGTTTGTGGGGATCAATCGTTGATAAAGTGGGCAAGAAAGAAAACGATGATCAAGTCTCACAGACAATGAATGGAAATATTGAAGCAAAAAAAGACATTGAATTAGAAGGTTATGCTAAAATGGAAAATTTAAATGGGAAAAAAGTAAGCTCAGTGGACTCCCCTGCACGGTGAGCTTCAATGTATTTTGGTCCACCCATCCATTCATTTATCCATTTCTTCATTTCCATTTCTTTATTCATTCATTCCCTTTACTCCCTTTTGTGAGCTTCAATGTATTTTGGTCCACCCATCCATCCATTTATCCATTGCTTCATTTCCATTCTCCATTTGTTCATTCATTCATTCCCTTTACTCCCTTTTGTTTAATTCCCGTGATTGACGTGTTGTTGTGTATATTATCTCAGCAGGAGGAACAGTGAAGTTGTCATCAGTGTTATGTCCAAGTCTGACAAGAACAAGAGATCGAGCTCATCAGTCAAACTTCCAAAGCGTCCAACTCCAACAATCATGTTTTCAGACTATGACGGGGAAAATGAAAGCTCTTCCGGCCAGAAAAAGTTCCGTCCATTTTCAAGAAAGATAAGTGATTCATCTTTATCAGATTTACCTGAGAGGGCCTGTAACTCTGCCCCTGAACAAGGAGTATCAGTAGAAATTCATCASAGTACTAGTAGTGATGTAATGGAKAAGGTGCAAGAAGAAGGYGATGATAAACCCAACGATGTTCGTATTGACATGGAGTCGCCAGACGATCCAYACAATCACGAACAAAGCAGTCACTCATCTCGTTCAGCATCCTCAAGCTCTGCAGAGGAGCCTTCTCAYCAAAACCAAGAAAATGATGCACCAAAAGGGACATCTCAGTCACCCTGGGCACGTATTCTGAGTAACCAAACAGCTCCTAATTTAAAAGTCCCAGGGGCATCGGAAACTGCAAGTACTCAGAAAATACCAGGAGCTAACCTTTTATCAGGAATTTCCAAAACCTACCACAAATGGCGAACGAAGACTAAGAAAAAGAAAAAGTTCCATTACGAGAAATACATCATTTATCTTGAAAGTATCCTCCCGACTGTAGGGTTTTCTATCGGTGGTGTTATCATTGATTGGAATGGCATCTATACCTTCATCGTTATCATGACCTTCATGGTTGGTGTATTTGCACAGGAGGCTTTCTTTGGCACATAGTCACATGACACTAATTAGCCAATAGGAGGCTTTCTTTGATACATATTGATAAATATGTATTTATATTACCAATTATCTAATAGGAGGCTTTTGACGCATAGTCACATGACACTAATTAGCCAATAGGAATGTTTCTTTGATACATATTGATAAATATGTATTTATTTTACCAATTATCTACTAGGAAGCTTTCTTTGCTATATAGTCACACGATACTTATTATAAGCCAATAGGAGGCTTTCTTAACACATAGTCACAATGGAGCTATTTAGCCAATAAGAGGCTTTATTTGACACATGACACTTATTAGCCAATCAAATGAACAGTGTGTTGCTCTAAACTGAAACACTTGTAATTCGAAATATATTTTAAAAACTTCGGTCATTTAATACCGTATAGTTACGAGAATGGTTGCTMATGAAAAAGTATTCTTGACTTGTAAGTCACAAAAAGCAATTTTGGGAAATGCACGCGGCTACGTCACCACAAAACTGATGCAAGATACGCTGTCGACTGTTGCAAGAAATGGAGTTTATAAGGTAAAGGGTGTAATTAGTCGCTTATTCTTCAGCTTAATTCGTCAGTATAAGCTCTAATATTTATATGTGGCCTTATAAACCTAAAAGACAATTTTTGTTTTGTGTAAAAAAGTCTAACTTGGCGTTGAAGTGGAGAAAACATATTACGCGTGTTTTTGCCATGAAAGGAACAAGTTAGCTCGTTCTATTGCGCTGAAAGTCATGCAGCTTGGCTTGCTTCTCAGCCACCAATTTACATGTTAAAACTCGTTTACAATTGTCTTCTTTGCCTTTATAACTCAATGGAGGTTTTGCATTGCTTGAAAGTTGCATTGCTTGAGCAAGAGTCGTTAAAAACGTTTGTCTAGTAGAAAGAAATGAAGCACAAAGAATTCTCACCTCGTACATTAATATGCAAACTCCCTCATTATCATGGTTTTCAAAGAAAACTACACTTAAAACCAGGAGGTCTGTATAAAATAGATTTTAATAATATCAAATTGCGAACGATAAGTTGCAATGAGTGTATGATATAGTATTTAATTCATGGTATTATTATCTGTAATAATTCATAAATCCACAATATATTTTTATTCGCTGATATTTTTATGATAATTTTTCTTATAAACAAAAGTTTACGATAAAATAGTAAAATGGATGTTAGTACACATGCGCGAAGTGGTATAACCGCTGTTCAATGCAGTATGTACTCATATACATTGGGGAYATTTTGGGGTCAAAATASATTATTATTTAAACTTCGGCTTCTCGCGCCTGTTGGTCGAGAATCATCGAAAATCAATAAAATCCATAATTCTCATGTTGTCATAGTAACCCATGGTGTCACACCCTTGTTGTCATGGTGATGCTGTTGCTATAGTTACTCCTTCGTTTCTGTATCGAATATTTTATCGTAGTCTTTRAGATCGGTTTGAGTCTCGGTACTTTGACCTGTTTTGTCTTGTTTGAGGAAGGCATCCCAAGTCACCTTTTTGTTTTGTTGTACTTGCTGTAGACAGTCTTGTAGRAAGGTAATCGGGTCATCAGGTCGATTATGAACCAAACCAGTTATAAGACTCTGAAATAACAATGAAAGATTCGTGTGATTTGACGATCTTATTCCCAATATGGCCGACATCTGGAATTCATTGTTTTTGGTAAGAAATGTTAAAAGGGAAATCTACGTTGCAGTATATAAACAAGAAACATAGACTGCACAGCCTTGAACGATCACTGATACGAAGAACGTCTCGCCGATTTTTTGTAAATACTGACCAATACTCTGCAATACCACAAACCCCAAAGGTAAAGCACATATCCCATAATTTCAAAGATGTCGACTTGATGTATTGTAATGAATATATATATAAGTTGTATGGTAATCTGTGTTGGTATTCTGTGTAAATGTAACCAGTTTAAGAGCGTGTAAGCATCTCTTCTCCTAAAAATTGTTTTTATGCCGTAGAGTGATAACTTAATTTAGTAAATATTTACAAAATTCGATCAAGCGATTCTTGCGACATGTCKGTCGTCTTGGTCCAGTGCATCTGTAATTTAATTTCAATGGACAACACGAAATTACAGAAGACAGCCATTGATCGACTAAATTTTACGTTGTAAACAAGATTCACTGCTCAAAATTTAATTAAAAAGCTCCTCWTTCGTTGGCAGACGTTGTCATACTCGTCACAAATCGATGCTTTAAATYAYACTGAYCATGTACTCATAGCTTCAAGSACACTTCTATCACTCGAGAGGTAACTGGCTGTAATAAACTCGCTCATTGAGAGTTTTTTAACGTTAAGAATTGTAAAACAAGTTTTCTTTATGATGCAAGTTAAGTTTGTTAAAATGACCTTGACGTTTGACATTGAAATCATTCATGAATTTACCTCAAACAATTGAAAGAGTTCATTCCGCGCCATATAAGACTTTGCATCTTCGATATCTTGTAACGAGTCCATAATACTGTTATGTACCGTGCTATATCCAAGATTATTGACCAGCTAACACAAGTACTCGCGAGGACAGAAGGTATTCAATCATTCGAGGTATATCACGTTAAAGGAAATCTAAACTTGATGGTTGCTAGGTGATGTGACTCCATAGACAAAGGAATCCCATCAAAGGAAACAGTGATCCGGTTGTTAGTTTTTGTTTATTTTGTTTTAACTTTTCCGGTTTTTTGAAAAGAAACAGAATATATTAGACGCTGATGTTAACAGTGTTTTAAAGGTATATGTTAAGATAAATTTACGTTTATGAAGTTTTTTTTGCAAATTTTAGTCATCCATAACGTTAGTTACAGCAGAGCTGTAGTYCCATTAATTTGACTACCAGTTTTTTTAAGAAAACAGGTTATTGTTTTCAAGAACAAAAACGGTGCTCGTTTCCTCTCTACAAATTGTATTGCACGACATTGACTTCAAAAAGAATCTTGTTTTCWTGAGCAAAATATCAGACTCATTTTCTTTTGGATAAAAAAGGCTTGATGAATGATCTAGCTGTCTGCTAGTACTAGAGAAATTGGCTTGGTATGGCGTCTACGCACTTTTTCCTATATCGTTACTGATACTAACTTGACCCTCTCATGCATACAAACTGTGCGAATGGTCGTCGTATCTACTGACCACGTAAGAGATTCGCATCATGAGGTCCAGCGTTGTCGAGGAGCCGACAACGTGGGTTCGACGAGTTCCTGGGAGAAATATATCTGTTCTTATGTCCCAGGCAGCTTGTAAGTCACAACTGGTTGCCAGCGAGAAATTCAGGAAACATAACTCTCCAGGCACGGAATACTTTCTAAGAATTTTTTGCCAGGAAAATAAAAATTTCCTAGCCAACAAAAATATAAGTCGTTTTTTGACCATAAAAACGTTATAAAAGCCTTTTTTGCCCTTTAAAAAAACGTTTGCCAGAAACAAAATTATTCTAAAGAAGGCCAGGGCGTCACATTTGCTTAGTGTGAGATTGTAGCTCAAAATTCCTTTCCCAGGAAAAAATTCGTACAAGAACAGTTATTTACTGAAGAACAGACCCCGTCGGCTCCTCCTGCCATGTTACATCATCAATACGAAGTTGGATGACTAAAAAAGTCYTTTCGCCATTTCACTGTGACAMATTGACAGGTGTTAACTGCTCTCATATTACTAGTAAAASCAGATAAGCCAAATCCACCCAAAAATTGATTAATTCAAATTCTAAAATCAATAAATCAATTTTGTTCATATGAAACTCGACAGGAGCCAATTCACATGGCTGTTCCTTGTAATAAAACAATCATGATATTTATATGAACATTAAATTTCTAATTGCATCCAGAATCTTTTTAATAAAAACATAAGTACATAGTGATTTTTTGTTTGATTTGACTGTTTGGATTATCAGTTCTAAGTAATTTTGGAAAGACTTCCCCTTTTAGTTTTTTTACAATACACTTATCAAAAAACAAACTCATGGACAATGCGACGTTTTTTACAGAACGGTACTAGTGTCGCTTCTCACATTTCCATATTTCAGCCATTCTACATTCTCATTRATATACATATTTATTTCATGTTTTTCTATTTACGGATTTGTTTTTCCATAAGATGGGCAAAGGGTTACATTATCACGCGAAGTGTTCCTTTTAAACTAAAGTTKATTCATCACTGATGATTATCAAAACTGGTTTGTTTTTCCTGAGAAGATTCATTTGGTAATGTAAATAATACTGGTTTTATTAAATTGCTTGCGTCAGTTAAGTCAAGGCAGTATTAAAATACAAATTAATTTGAGTCACCTGTTCCATATTGACAATGAAGTATAACCCAATGTATGGTCTGTGTGGATTATCACTCGTATCACTAATTGACTTCTCTGACTATATTTTACTGTGGAAGGAATGAAATGTTGAAGGGCTTCTTTGAACGAGTTACGTTTAAGTGAGGTCATCCCAGCTAGAAGCCAAGTCACCCTGGAAAAAATATTTTGACATCACGAATTGAATGAGAAGATTTGATCGATCAGATCAGCTTCTAGCTTATATGCTGTAGACTACTGAACCTCCTCTGGTGAGAAGAGATAAAACCACTCTGAAGAAAGACAATATCCCGTTCAATTCGTAAGTGATTTGCTGAAAGGATAACAAAAATTGACATTTTAAAGGTTTGCCAAGCAAGCTAACTAAAGAAGTAATAGTCTAAAAGACGAAATCACTAAAAGACTCTTAATCTGGTGCTCAACACATCAAGGCATTTAACGTGTACATAACATGATATTATTCTTGAAACAGACCGCAAGAGACTCTTATAGAAGGCCTTAAAACTCAAGGACAAAKTTATTATTTAAACATACAGGACAGCAGGTCATGTCGAATAATAGTAACACGTCACGTGATCCGTTCATCTACGCCAGTCATCCTGACAGTGTATGGTACTGGACAATACGAGCAGTTATCGCAGTCATAGCAACCACTGGTAATGGTTTAGTCAGCTATATTATTATATCAAGGCGAAGGCTGTGGACACMGGCCAATAGTTTCATGCTGTCCTTGTGTATAGCTGATTTAGGTACAGGWATCATTAATACACCACTAGAGTTTACCTGTACAATGCTGAAATCATGYGACATCTGGCTAGTRCACTCTATAAAAGACATTTTCTTGTTAGCATCTGTGCTTAATCTTTGTGTGATAACGTTGGATAGATTCGTCGCCGTACGATTTTCCCTTAAGTACTTTATCATMCTCACTAGCTTTAGGTGCGGAGTGGTRTTAGTAGTCACGTGGATGTTGTCCATAGCAACGCCCTTCGTCTTCTACGTCATCATTCAATACAATCGCCTTGAARCATAYCGATTTGTCAGTCTTATAAGATTATTTTTGTGTCAGTTGACACCGATGGTGGGATTGGTGGTCATCTTCCTCATGATTCTAAGAATCTGGAAATCTCAACGACATAAAATACAACAGCAAAAAAGACAAATTACCTACAACTACTCTACTSCGAGTGCCTCCAGTCGTTATGTACAGCGGTCGTCTTCAATCCATTTTATTGGAGTGATGGTCATATTTTTTGTGGTTTGTTACTCGTTAACATTTTACCGAGCGTTCTGTAATTATGTACTGTTTCGTGATGTAGATGATATCATAGTGCCTATATCAAGACTGTTGTATTACTTGAACTCTGCACTCGACTTCGCCGTGTACGCACTCTTCAAACAAGATATCAACAAAGAATTAAGGAAATATTTCAACAACAAAAGAAATCCTCTCCCCACCCCACGGGAATCTCATATTGGCAACACAGCAGTGGATTAGAACTAACAAAAGAACTCCTCCCCACCCTCACCGGGTCTCATATTATCAACACAGCGGTGGACTAGAACTAACAAAAGAACTCCTCCCCACCCCCACTGGGTCTCATATTGGCAACACAGCAGTGGACTAGAACTAACAAAAGAACTCCTCCCCACCCTCACCGGGTCTCATATTGGCAACACAGCGCTGGACTAGAACTAACAAAAGAACTCCTCCCCACCCTCACCGAGTCTCATATTGGCAACACAGCAGTGGACTAGAACTAACAAAAGAACTCCTCCCCACCCTCACCGGGTCTCATATTGGCAACACAGCGCTGGACTAGAACTAACAAAAGAACTCCTCCCCACCCTCACCGAGTCTCATATTGGCAACACAGCAGTGGACTAGAACTAACAAAAGAACTCCTCCCCACCCTCACTGGGCCTCATATTGACAGCACAGTAGTGGACTAGAACTAACAAAAGAACTTCTCCCAACCCTCACCGAGTCTCATATTGGCAACACACAAAACACGTGATAGATGAAATTGATAACAGTGAAGAAAATGCGACAATCAAAAGTCTGTGGTTTAATGAGATTACAGTTCATATTTAGGCTCGATTAATTAATGAGCTAGTGATTTGATTATTATTAATAAAAAGCAAAGCTGATATAGACCTGACCAGCCAACCAGATCACGCCTTCTAAATACCTTTTGATTACTATCAGTTCTACTATTAATAAATAGCAAACTTCATAGATACCTGAGCAGCCAATCTGAGAGAKTACAATTCATATTTAGGTTCGATTAATGAGCTAGTGATTKTACAATTTAAGCACGCGATCYAATCAGATCACGCCTTCTAAAAAGCTTTGTGATTACTATTAATAAAAAGCTAAGCTGATAGATGCCTGACCACCAATCAGATCACGCCTTCTAGACAACTTACTTGATACTTATTATCAGTAGAAAGCAAATTTCTAGGTACAGTGAACGARCTAAATCCATGAACCAATTCCCTTTCACTGTTTAGTAGTCTAGATGGCGCTCATCGCGAGCAATGGCCGGTCAAAGGTTGTTCCGCCTTAGTTRCAGAAGCAGTGGAAATTTGTTCCATTTTTGTTCTTTTTWACCCTACAATTTCACGCATTAAATACGTGTACTCTAAATGCCAGGATCAGCCTACAATAATTATTGATTAATAAAAGTTGTATCAAATGTYGAGTAGTGCATACACTCACTTCTTTAAATCCTAATGCTTCAATTCGAGTGCATAAGTAAGCTTAGACTACAAGGTTTTGACCTTCTATCTGAGGACCAAATGATACAGGGGCCCATATAGACTACAAAATATAGTACCATTTGGTACCTARTAGAGTRCAAACACTAARAGCGTGCAATTCTTTGCACTATTTACTACAAAATAGTGTTACAATAGAAAMCAATAGAATTAGCATACATTAGCAGTATTTAGTGGTATTTATRTTGCACAGTTTTAGTGTTTGTACTCTATTACCTACAAATGAATGATTTGCTAGAGTGATCGMTAAAGCGTGAAACTGTACAAAATCWAAGTAGTATTAATTTGTACTAAAAGTGGACCTGAAGCAAGACGGTATTGAATGCTTCATTTGCATCAATTCAATGTAATTTGCGTACTGCATGCACSATTTACTAAATACAACTAAATGAGAAATATTTAGTTTGTACAGTTGCACGGATTAAGTGCGATCACTCTAACAGCAATGATCATCTATGAATYTGGGGATTGTGATCAAAGTTCAAGGTCATGTGGTTTAGTTAGTTCATCAAGCCTGAAAGCCGCTGGTCCATCAAAAGCATTAGTGATCACGTAAGGAGGAGGAGGTTCATCAGGTTGAGAAACCGCTGACTCATCTTTGGTCTTAACCTCGTACCCAGGAGCAGATCCTACCTTTCTTGATTTCAAAACTTTTGCGCTGATGAACTTCAATACAACGACTGCACCAATAACTACCAACACACCTCCCAATAGACCAAGACCAATAGCCATGCCTGTGACCTTTTCCTCMGAACCTGACACGCAAAACATATATTAACTGAAATTACGAGATTTACTCAGTCCGTGAAACAGAGTGTAATATTCAATAATGTATGATACACCGAAATGACAAAAGCTAATGTAATAAAAAAACACTCAATATTTTTTTCTAATTTTCTCATTTCTTTGTTACTTTCTATCCATCCATCCATCCATTCGATTTCGTTACCTTTGTTTTGGTCGGTTTCACCGCCGATTTTCTGTCCAGAAAGCGGACCAGTCGATAAGTCATACGCATTACTGGTATCATCGTAATCTTTAGCTTCACGACGACGTCTTCTTGACCCAATACAACCTTGTGAACACCTCGAGTTGGCAGAGTTACGATGACAAACCATCAGATGGCAGTGAAGGTAGACTAGTCTATTGCTAGTGTGGAGAAAACGGAACGACTTGATGGAAAACCGCTGTACAGAACTGCTTCGGCTATAAGTGTAAAGCATGGTGTCGTCCTTGGGGCAGCTGTTCAACAAATAAATACATTGACTTTAATAAGAGAAAGTGTTGTTTATCTTTCTATGTCGCAATGTCAACATGAATGACAACATCATTGCCAGTTTTGCCTATAATTTCATAACTTCAAAGTCATCTGCACTCTGGCGTCGACGAATGGGGAATGCTGGCTTTGGTAGCAAAGAAAGTAACAGTTTGATCGTTACATCTGTACACCTACCCGTTTGTTAAAAACTCGTACTGYGGAGTTGAATTTGGGTCCGTTGATAACGTTGCACGACAATTCTCAGCAAACACCACCAGATTTCCAATTGTGTTGGTGACTTTATATTGTATCCAAAGTGTTTGGTCAAGGGCCACAGACACAGGATATTCATCCTGCTGGTACTTTTCCTGGTAACCATCAGACTTGTAGATATTCATCATGAACGTGAAGTTACCAAAGTTTCCTGGAATATCGACGYACGTGGTTAATGGACTGATACGAGAAATATCCAGTAAATATTATGGTTTACCTTCAGAAATTTGCATGATCTCCTTGGAAGCATTRAAGCTGGTACTAACGACTTTTCGTTTGGAGTACTTGCAATGAAACTTAAGAAGGGTGATGSYATCTCTTGTTATGACTGCGCTGGCGTGCCTTTTATTGTCTATTATCTGACATAAGAAACCATGAGAGTATAGTTACTAAACGAGCATAACATCAACAGCTAGATCGACTTTCCAAAGTACCTTTTAGTCCCTTCTTCCCATCTAATTTCACTAATTTAAGTTATTTCACGTACTTTTTTACCGGGTATTTTATTTATCTTTTTACACAACTGTTTCTTTAGAAACACCGACGCAGCCCCCGGGGGGGGGTACTGACTCCCTAATATCAAAGGGCGGGGGTCCTCGGCGTCCCTTTTAGGGTTTGAAATCGGTATTTTGGTCCCGCTTAGGGTTATAATGACTGAGTTTTGTGGTCCCTTTTAGGGTATATGACGTCCCTAAGCCGTCATTATGAGATCAAAAACCACAGCTGCTAATTCGATGATTGATTTTATTTTAATCAGTTTCACGTCTTGTCACTTAACACTCCTTAATAGCGCTGCGCGGATATACTAAAAATAGATTTGAGAGATTAGACTCCCCACGGAGATTCGGACAAACAAGAGGTCAAGACCATGTAACTTTCAATTTTATTTAGATTTCTCTGGATTTTTTATCAATATGATCGGAACAAAGCACTGGAGTTCGGGCAGATGCAATATAGATTCACGATATACAGATAGAATGCCTCAGTCTCTCAAAGAATTTAAGAAAATTGAGTAAGAAAGTATTTATACCGTTCTTCAAGCATTCTCATGACCTCGAAACATGCCTACAATGGATCAATTCTTGTTCTTGTAGTCCAACAACATCAATAAAACGGTAACAACGTGGCTGCATCGGCCAAGCACAGATACTTAACACGGTTCGCATGAAGCGTGTGTTACCGCTCCACTATGTATGGATAAAGACTAATACATTATGAGGCAAGTTTGTTTCATAATAATGGTCGCTCTCTTGTCTGTTGCCCTTGTTACATCGCACAAAACGGGAATCGACATCTTTTCGTCCGTTTTTAAAATGTTTGTCCGTCATATGTCCAAGTCCTTCATCCTCGAGCGTATAGTTAGACTTATAGATAGTTTATTAAACAAAGATAAGTCGCAGCCAATTAAGAGCTGAATTTGGTTATTTACTAAGTCATGTAAACAAAAACTATTTAAAAAACTGATTCCAACATACAGTTCATATATTGATATGGAAGCAATTAGATCGTCAGAGACGGCCGGCACATGGCCAGGATGGACGAGTTCCTATACAGTCTCTTAACGCGAGCAACCAAGTCAACTCGCTTTCCTGGCACTTTTTGACCTCCACATCTCAACTAGCGTTTTAATTGCTTGACAGTATAGTTGTTTGGATTATTTTGGAGTTTTGAACCAGGAAAATCGTCATTTTCTGTCAAAACTTCTGTATTTTGGAGCGAATTTAATGAGGCGCCAGTAAATTCCACATACATTTCTCTTGTATTGACCTCAACGTTTGTCCGAATGCAAGCGGGGGGTCGAAATCTGTGACGTAATATCCGCGCTGCGCTATAGATTATTGGTCCCTTTTAGGGATGAAATTTCAGCACTGCCACGGCCATCATCTCCAAATACAGGTCCCTCTTAGGGGTCATTTTCATAATTTCCGCCGAGGACCCCCGTCCTTTGATATTAGGGAGTCTCCCCCCCCCCCCGGGGGACGCAGCTCACACTAGTTTTTACCGCTAGTTCACACCACTAATTTTACTAATGGTTGTAATTGTGATTTATCGAGGATTGAATTTTATTTCTCTATTATTTTCATTTATTGTCACGGTATGTGTGATCTYTCTAGATGGCTTCAACAAATTGTTCAAAATATCAATGATACATGAATATAGAGGTCRAATATTCTAATTTAAATTTCAATATATAAGAATTTTCGGTATGTGTCAACTTTGCTGTGCCCCATTGTTTCCCACCCTGATGAGCTAAAAATCCTACATCAAGCTCTCTGAGTATCCCGGCATAGATTGAGTGATATAATGTAGTTTGACTCGCTGCCTCTCCACAGCGTGTTGTTCTATTTTACCTTATTTTCAAAAACTATTGTATCATTGTCTTCCTTATGAGTAGTACCACAACCGTYGAGAGGCGCACGGATTACAATATTGGATGGTCCATTTGTTGCTCCGCAGTTTGAGTCGATCAGTTGAACGTCTCGCCAGTCAGTGTTATTGAAGTAAGACTTTTCTAGCGATACCTCCATGTAATCGGCTTCACATTTGACTTTAACCATAAGATCTAATAAGAACAGGAAGGCAGGATTAATGAAAGAAATTTTACAATTGTAAAACGAAAAAATCTTATTCTCGTACCCAGACACCTTCTCATACCCTATATAATACCCTAGTAGCTTCGTTCCCATGCAGGCTTCTCTAAGTCATCTCATGTTCAGGATGGCGGACGTTCTTGATGCAGACGCGASAGGAAAATTGAGAAAATAAACATTGACTTTTTATRCTGAACGACTGAGAGTAGCCTGGGTACTAGCTAAGGGAGAGTCTTAGAACGAGAATGAAAGATTCTAAGTGCGCGTAAGATGTGCCYAGTCTTCTTCGTCGTAGACAGTACACAGGAAGGCGATGCTAAAAAACGGAATTCAATTAAATCGGTTCCCATCAGTATTATTAAGAGTAAAAAAAGTACAATGCTTACTTGTTTCACAGTTTCGTCCACTATATCCATTGGGACAGGAACAATAATAATAACGAGACGAATAACTTTGACATGTTCCTCCATTGTAGCATGGCTTTCCATTCACGCAATTACTGCCCTCTGTTGTGAGTTGTGAAAAATATATTAATATAACTTTCASCCGGGTTTCGTGATAGATATGATATACAATATCATACATAAATTCTTATATTGTATAAATTTTCATTTTTTGTACCGCAATGTTACAAAATTATCGTTATTTTTGGCATCAATAAGCAATTGACGTTTATCCCTGGGTACGCAAATCACTTCCAAAACTCATACATTATTAATGAACTACTAGGCCAATAGAATGAGCCTATTTGGTCACATGCATGGACCTTTATATCTGATAAAACACTCCTTATTAGTATTCTTTATAAAGAATTCTTTATATTCTTTATAAAGAATACTAATAAGGGTGACCTTTATCAGATATAAAGGTCCATTACCCTAGCAAAGGTCTCAGGTTTGAAACCTGATCATTGACCAATGCAGGATGTCAACCGATTTTTCAGTGATCGAACAGCCAAGAGCGGTTCTATTTTACTTTATGCGTATTCAATGTGGGATGACAAGAGTGCTTTGTAAAGTGATTCGTGATCAGTTTTCCCTATTTATCTCAGAACATATTTGTACGTCAATTTCTCCAAGAAATTTAAGGGATTTGAGTTCCAAATTATTGTTGGAGTATTTGAAGCCGTTTAAAACACTCTCTCTCGTGTTTTAAACTATACTTTAAAAAGTATATATTGATGAAAGTACGGACCTGTTCCATTGCCGCAGTATCGTGCATTACATGCCGGTGTTCTGTCAAGCTCATAAACAAAGAAACCACCACAGTTTTTGACTCTGATTGTCCTGCTCCAGCGACAGCAAGTATAGTAGTAGTAGTAGTAGGAGCTAAAGCATACTGAGCGCGTCACAATCCCTTGTTCTACAGTCGGATGTGAACCAGACATCCAACCAGAATAATATGTGTTGCAATGTCTCTCGGGAACGCACGATGTTGCTATGTGTGTCCCTGCAGCACCAGTAAAACGGTACCAGCCCTTGGTCAGGTCGTWGTAATCACATCTATATAGACTTGAAGGATGATACCTCGACCGGTTTGAAGAACTCAACTCTGTGTAATTGTTACACACGTCTAAATTGAAAATAAAATTATWGCATGTTGTTAAAACTGAATATCACAGGCAGCCCAACCATTAAATGTGGCACCATGGACTTCAACAAGATTTTAGTGCCTATTTTATAACAACTTACCGAGTGAATCACAGTTTTTGCCTGTATAACCACGAGGACAACTACAACGATAGCCACTTGGTGTGGTATAACAAGTCCCTCCATTAGAACATGAGCAGAAAACTGAAAGAAATACATTCAATTTACAGCAGTTTTACAGCCATATGTCCTGAAAACAATTCTATGAGCGCTAATCAGACTTCTGCATAGTCTTGACTTCAGAACTTAAAACATGCCATGAGAGTATAGCAATATGTTTACACCCAACCCCCACCCCTCCCCCTTAGAGTATAGCAATATAGTTTACAACCAGCTCCCACCCCTCCCCCTGAGAGTATAGCAATATAGTTTACACCCAACCCCCAACCCTCCCCCTTAGAGTATAGCAATATAGTTTACAACCAGCTCCCACCCCTCCCCCCATGCAAATGTTATTTCATTTTCATTGACAAAATCACATGAGAGGTTATAGTAGATCGACTTAAAAAACATCCCATTGGATTTCAAACAATTCTATATTTCACCATTAACTGAAGGTTGAGCACCAAGTATTTACGAAAACAAATCAAAGCTTCACCATTGAAGTACAGTCTCTGAAACTATTTTTCTTCTTAGTCACATTATTAATACTCAGTGTACCTGCAAACAGTGTAAACTTTATCTGGTAAGGAACRGAGCAATCTCGATCTGAAAGAAAAMGTTAGAGATATTTTAATGACTAGCGTGAAAATATATGACAGTGTTTTTGATTGTACTTATACAACGTGCGATCTTGAGCTTTTAGGGACTGYRCAATATTTATCAGGAGGKTAGGGGGGTGATAGGGGGGCAAAATCGAATTTTATGTACTTAAAGAGGGGGTTGCAACATCTAAAATCAACTAAAACTTTGATTGGAAACTTAAAACTCAACGGTGTCAGATTMTGTGCTTTTTGGTCAAGGATTCTTATCTTATATTAGGGATTCATGTCTGCCAGGAACATGATGTTGTTTTAATTTAAAGGTATGTTTAGTCGGTCTTACCGGAACAAGAATTGGACGAGTTTCCTCCAACAAGTGCGATGAACAGTCCACGCCCATAACACGATACATTGTTAGCTAAATCAGAAAGTCCAAATTCAGCTACAGTAGATTACTCCACACAAACGAGCCGTTTTATACATGGACAAGGACGATTCCTAGATATCCTTTATTTATTATAAAGCTCAGGGTGGTCCCATCAGTTACAAGTGCATCTGTTATCAATGTGAGTCCAAAAKGCCTTACTAMTAGASCTATAGGTRCCCAGAAAACAGTTTTCTGATTGATATGGTATGTCCCACTAAAAGTATGATCATTTTCGTCCCCCMAGAATGAYCCACAAGTAAACTTTATGCTTATTCTTAGGATAGGTGTGTGCACTAAATTAGGAAATAATTTACTAAAAGAAAATCGTTTTGTACCTTTGCAAATGTCATTTAACGCCACTGATAYACCTGAGAACGAAAAGAAAATAGGATATAATTATTGAGCACATCATGATGTATTTTAGATCTTTACCGTTGTTACTACCGCTCCACTGGAATTCTCTGACTGAAAAAAGAAAAAAAAACATCAGTAAGTGATTATTGCTATAATTATTCACTCTGTAATGGGAGATTAAAATAGCTGAAATTATGGGGTCGGGTCAATATTGGACAATTTTCCTGATCATTCTTCCAGCAATCACATCAACATATTCATCTCGATGTAAATTACAATATAACAAAACCAGACAATTGTTTTAATCTTCAATACCTGTGTATTTAAAATCGTGGTTGTACTCGTTAGGTGTGCTGTCGCTCCATGAACCATAAATGATCAATGTACCAAAATATGACGTTATCTGGAATTAGGGGTTGAGAAGTTTGAAGTTTTTCATTGAGAGATTTTCACCAATAAATCAATAAGACATGATAAGTGAAAACCCGCCTTGCATCCACCGAAAGAAGATATACCTCTCAAAATCACCAAATGTTTTAATCTTGTACGGTAAAGTTGAGAGGTTACAACATCAACATTTGTTTCTCAGTAACATCTTCGTGAGATTATTATGACATACCGTTATTCTGATGTTGACATTGTAAATAGTCACAGAATCCAGTTTAAAATACCGCGGTTTTCCAGGCGATACGTATCCTGTTACTTGGGTCTGATTGTAGCTTGATGCATTGATACTTCGTACATCGGGTTTCAAAACGGTTGCAGCTAAAGAACACGCACTCTTTAGTAATTARCCTGAACTTCTGGGCAGCAACGAACACAATGATTCTAACAATAATCATACTTACTGTTGCATGTTTGGTTTTTGAGTTGTTGAGCCAAACCTATCAGTTTGTTGAAGTCATTTGTACTCAACACGTGTTTGTTCGGATCAGTAGCAATAAGTTGAAGCTCATTGAGGTTGTAACTACCAACACCTACAGCGACCATTGTCAACCCTGTATAAACATCGGATGTTAGAAATTGACTGTAGACTTATATGGTTAGTTGGTCGTCGGCTTAGTTGGTTGATGGGTTTGTTGGTTGGTTGGTTGGTTGGTGGATGGGTTGGCTAGTTGTTTGGTAGGTTGGTTGGTAAATGGATTGGTGGGTTGGTTGGTGGATGGGTTGGTCGATAGGTTGGTTAGTTGGTTGGTAAGTGGATTGGTGGGTTGGTTGGTGGATGGGTTGGTCGATAGGTTGGTTAGTTGGTTGGTAAGTGGATTGGTGGGTTGGTTGGTGGATTGGTTGATGGATGGGTTGGTTGGTTGGTTGGTTGATGGGTTGATTGGTTAGTGGATTGGTGGGTGGTTGGTTGGTTGGTGGATGTGTCGGTGGGTGGGTTGGTGCAGGTTTTATGTACCTCTAATGTTTTGCTTGAGGGTGCTCACGATTGACGATAAACCGCCGTTCGAATGGCCATCGGTCAGTAGAATGACGATCTGTGGATCGTTAGCCTGGTTAGGGTTAACATTGGACCGAGCATTTATAAGAATATCATAAGCTTTCTGTAGAGCCAGCCTGGTTGCTGTACCGCCACCTAGAKAGCAAAATATATCATTTATTATTYAATAGATTAATCGTCGTTAAAAAGATGACCGAGGGTAATTCCGCTGAGAATCGCGTAATTTCTGGCCATGTAMAGTATCKTKTTTTTACATATGARTCCGCAATAAAGACGCTGATCAAGGCAAATATCAAWAAAACCATTACTTGCAAAAGTAAGTTTGTYCACGGCGCACAACAATGCAGATTTAGAAGAATGCTCTCCAAGTCTGATGGATTCGTACGCATAGYTAGCGTATTCCACWACAGCAACGCGGGCTTTATATGGCGAAATTTCAAACGCGTCAATGATTTTCCTAAAAAGAACAAAAGAGAGATTTGTTGATAAAAAGTAATATTAATACAAAATCAATCATTGAAAACGTACTGTACAAACTCTTTCTCTACTTCGTAGTTGCTCMAACCGATGCTTCCAGACTCGTCAAGTACGAACACAATGTTAGCGGACAGCGAACATCCTATGAAACGCAATTGTCAAGTATTGAAATAATCAGCACAATGTTACAATTAAAGAGAAGAGCTCGTGTAACATGATGACAGTTAAAAAACTAGTTCTAATCTAAATTGAGTTTACTGCTGACTGAAATAGTGTGCGATCTCACCTTCATCGTCTCCAGGTGCTGGGCAACTGTGTCTGCTGAAAAAGCTTGCTGTAGACGTAGATATAACATTTTATTATAGCTAAATACTTTTCAATATCAGTAACATCCGATGAAAGACCTACATGTAAGGACTATTATTCTTCGAAAGTATCTGCACGGTTTTATAAAGTTTTAAAACAATTTGACCAATAAACAAACCTTTTTTTAATAATAATTATCTATTTAGGCCTTCTATAAGATGTCTTGAGACTAATTACAAATGTAAGTCTGGGACTGTGAGCACAATTCTTAGATTCAGTCAGGCTTGTAGGGAATGTGAAATCAGGTCTGTGTCCTGGGGGCACAACCCTTCCCAAACTGGAATGGTAACGCCCCTGGTACGGACTTTCATWATTTGCTTTGTGTAGTAAAAATAGCCGATATGAACTTACTTGTATGGTTATAAAATTGCTGAACAGTGTTATTGGCAAGTTGAGGGATTTCATAATATTGCACTGACGAGAAATCTAAACCGTTGTTCCAAAGAGCTTTTACTGCATAAGTGGCCGATGTGGTTTGTTCTGCTAARTCTCTGTCATGAACAATCTTTCTAAAAGTATTCATTCGTCTGCATGCAGCAAACTCTTTGTCATACACAACTCCACCTTGATAATACATTCGTAGCAACTGAGATAGACGGACACCTCGACTTATCCACTCTGGTAGCTTAAAACCCAGTAAGAATCCGTCAATTCCACCGCGAATCTGTGCATCTGTAGCCATTGAAGGTGTTGACCCGCTGACAGAGAAGTATTGTGGGCACTGAGTGTTKGGTGACCAGACACCTGATGGMCCAAGCAATGGTAGATAAGGTTTGATTTTCTTGACGAGGGACGTCAGACCAAGATCACCAGCAAGTGTTGCCAYGTATAGGTTGTCGATTTGTCGTGATATCTGCCATAGCCAGAGGTTYYTATTCCTAYTAAGMCCTGCACATATCCCTGYTATAACAGGACCCATTGCTACGTTTCCGTATGGTGTCAAGGCCACGCCCTGTTCTAGTTGCCCAGAGAAACGATGCTGGACCATGTTGATGAGCGCAGTTGTCTCATTTAACATTAGAATACCATTGGGCAAAGAGCCTGTTTTGATTTAAGGCAAACTATATTATTATGCCAGAAGCTTACAGTTTTAGTTTACTAATTGATAATTTGAATTCAGATAACCACTAGTTTAGAATTTACGCAGTAAAACGTGAGATTATTTAACTTGATATAGGTTTTCCTAAATTTGGTGTTTGCTTTCTCAAAAAGTATTCGTTTGTCATCYACTTTTTTTAAACGGCAAACAATAATAAAATAGATGATTTTCCTGTGTTAGTACAGGTGCTAACAGAATGCGCTGWTTTTTTACCTACTCACCGTTTGTAGCTCCAAGTAACGTTGTCCATTTGGCATCATCATAACCGGCAAATGTTCTGATGTAACTCAAGATTGCTGCCATTGGCATATTGTTATTTAGTCTCTCCATCTTTTCTATCAGCGAAATGAGGAAATCCAAGGTATGCAAGGTTGCAGGTCCTAACGTGAAACGTAATTTACAGTTTACACTTGTGTATAGTTTACTAGCTCTTGAATTACAACAKTCATTGGCTTTGATTCTGAATAACCGTCAAAGTATTACATAAATACAAACCTGTTCCATTGCCACAGTACCGCAGATTACATGCTGGTGTTCTGTCAAGCTCATAAACAAAGAAGCTGCTGCAATTTTTAACTCTAATTGTGTTAGAATAACTATAGCTGCAATAGCCAGGCGAGCTATAGTAGACTGTGCGGTATACGATGCCTTCGCCTACAGTCGGATGTGAACCATACATCCAACCAGAATAATATGCGTTGCAATGTCTCCCGGGAACGCAATATGTTGCTATGTGTGTCCCTGCTGCACCAGTAAAACGATACCAGCCTTTAGTCAAGTAGTTATCACATTCATATGCGCTTGAAGGATGATGCTTTGATCGAYTAGCAGAGGTCARCACTCTGTAATTGCTGCACATGTCTGATTTGAAAGAAACAGAAGTACAAATTCATCAAAAGTACTTGAAATTGCATGATCAAGATTGGTTTGGTTTTCATACCTTGTACTGATGTTGTAGGATAAACTGCGGCTGGAAATATAAACGTGCAGATTATTAAGACACAAGTCGACGGTAGTCATTTCAATTCTTTTGTGGTGGTTTTACCACACTGATATATCGAATATTATCCGCCATACCTTGAGTTGATGTTGGTAGTGGCGTCCGTTGTGTAGATGTCGGTACTAGTTGAAAAAAAAACAAGATGTTACTCCAAAGACTTTATCAGTGAAAAGTACTGGCAACAATCAGTGTTTTGTAAACTTACCAATGCTTTGAGTGGAAGTTGAAAGAGGACGAGCCCATTGTGTAGCTGTCGGTACTAGTTAAAAAAAATAACAAGATGTTACTCCAAAGACTTTATCAATTGAAAAGTACTGGCAACAATCAGTGTTTTGTACTTACCAATGCTTTGAGTTGATGTTGAAGAAGGCGATATCGTCGAGTTTACTACATGAAAAMCACAATAACATCAATGAATCATGAATAATTGATGGACATTTCCAACCGACAAATCATTGTCAGGCAGGCTAGACTACAACGACAGACAACACCAGAAAACTGCGATGTAGAGTAGCAGGAATATATGTAACAGCTTGGTATCCCATCACTGACATGACAAGCTGTTATGAATGATTCTCCATTAGTGCAACTTGCATGAAAATGGCCTTATTTCAAAACGTCAAGCAATACAAATATATGACTCATTTATTTCTATTAAAAACAATTGCGGGAAAATATTTGTCTTGGAATTATCCCACATCAGGGAAATTTTGATTCAAAAGATGGAAGAACAAAAGGATTGAGTAGATGACGYCATCTACTCCAACACTTTTTGACCAAAATATTAAGGATTTGCATCAATATTTTCTTGAAATCTGTTGTTTCATGATTATTATACCTAAATGGATAGGTCTATTTGATTTCCAAGTCTTTTCTAATGTTTCGCAATTTTCGTCCAAGTAGCCCTTTAAAGGCCCGTTTACACTTGCAATTTTTGCAGCGCGATTGTCGCGCGACAATCGCCTTAGTTTCGAACATGCTTGAAATTTGCTGCAACTCGCGGCGATTTTTGATCGCTGCGACAATCGCGGGGCTGTTTACACATACCATTTGAGGTGCGAGAGAACAAAGTGGCGATTGTCGCAAAGATTGCAAGTGTAAACGGGTCTTAAGAAATTAAAATTAGTGAAAATTCTCACTGTTTCATTGAGAGAAAACTGTATAAAATACGTTATATTTTAATCATTACCAATACAACATGTACTAACCTGCTCCATTGCCGCAGTATCGTAAGTGACATGCTGGTGTTCTGTCAAGCTCATAAACATAGTAACCACCGCAGTTTTTGACTCGAATTGTGTTGCTCCAGGTGCAGCAGCTAGAGTACCAGTGATAGCAGACCGTTCGATTCACTGTCCCCTCTTGTATGCTTGGGTGTGAACCATTCATCCATCCTGGTACGTATGTACCGCAATGATATTTAGGAACGCATGATGTTGCTATGTGTGTTCCTGCTGCACCAGTAAAACGGTACCAGCCTTTGGACAGGTCGTAGTAATCACATCTAGTCCCATATGAACTATGATACCTTGATCGGCGATAATCATTCAGCTCTGTGTAATTGCTGCAAGCATCTGATAAGGGAAAAACCAAACACACACAAAAAAAAGAATTCAACTTTTATAATCAAAGAAATGAATTTGAATTTATTACAAGAATTAGAATTTACGCAATTAGTTCGTGACTTAATTTTTTCTTTTTAAAGTTGCATCCATAGAAATATCACTGAGTCTATTCTAGAGACTTGCCTGAGCTATTAGAATACTTTAACGAAAATCCTTTATAAGTGTGGGACCCATCAGAACTAAACGTAATGTACATCTGATTGGACGAGCTTGTTAGGTTGTTTGGAAGGGAGGAGCCACTGAATGAACCAATTTGGTTAGATGAGGTTGAACTTCCGTCGTACACCCTTACATAGTCATAACCAGACTCAGTAGCAAAGTCTTCAAAGTAAATATGAACAGTTCCTGGGTTGGCTGTTAGTAACCAATAGCACCTTTGATAGTTTGGATACAAGCCTGGGTAATTCGGTGAAGTTATCCGTCCAGTGCTTGACAAGGTTCCATGACAATTGGTTTGAACTGTTACACCTGTAAAATAACATTTTATTAACTTACTAATCAACGAAGATAGGCTCGAGTTGTTTTCAAAAATTCTCCAAAATATTTTAATCCGCATTAATTTTTTTTTAAAACACACAAAAAAATCGACAATCATCACTGTGAATAGAATTAAAGAAAAGATGACAATTAAATTGCGCAAAATTTAATTCTTTTTATATAATAGTCATGCCGTCAAGATTGAAAGATTGAAAATTATGATCAGTTACGAGTTGAATAATGCATTACGGTCTTCAACATATTCTGCCAAATAGCTTTATAACTTACCCATATGCCGATACAAAATGATATGATATTACGAATTTTCGTGCATCCGAAACCGTTCGTCGGCGATCGTTTTGTCTCTTGTTGAAAGGTGCTTTCTGATTGGTTCAATATTAAATATGGCAAGTTTCGTATGCAAGAAAATTATGGGTTAGTTCTGAGATGCATATGAACACGAATATTACTCTATCTTTTTAATATACACCTACTTGCGAAAACATAAAAAATAGGACATTTGTATTTTAGAAAAAAGGAATAAATTAAGACAGATCACGCTTTCTTTTGTTTTGTTTTAATTTATTCCTTTTTACTAAATTCGAATGTTCTATTTTCTATGACAACGTTTCTGCAAGTAGGTGTAGGTGTAGTCAGTTATTTGGTGTATCTGTTTTTTTAGAATTCAGCCTTTCACAAGATTTCGGCTTCTTTGAATTGTTAAACGAATAACATAGAACAATATGTAATTAACCTAAAATTCAACCTTGGCACTTATTTGCTAACTTTCTTCTCAGAATTGTTAAACGAGTAACATATAACAATATGTAATTTGTCGTCCCAGTATGATATCTTTGTTTTTGATCGGTAGAATGARCAACAAACCCTTTTCCCACAGAAATTGCACGGATGATTAATGCCATTCTATAATTCTAATTTCTAAAAAGCATATTGTACTCAATCTGCCTTTTACAATAGAATATGAGCATTTCATAAATTTCAACGTCTGTCGTAGCTGGTACTAATGATATTTTTATGTATAGGAAACACACAGCATTTCCAAAAAAGCTAAGAAATAATAATATTTTCTTAAAAGAAACCTTTAAAGACATACTAGACATAATGCGTCTGCCGACTGTTACCTTCGTCATCAATTTTATTCAGATTTCAACCGTTATTTTGATTGATAATATTCACAGATACTTTGAATACTGATAACCGTAAGAACGCATTTACTGCGTATGAAACTGCATCATCTCGCAATGGCGTGATTGCTGGTAAKTTTAGTTATGTATTATATTGTCTGAAACTGTTTCTGTTGTAYTCAGAGTTCTAAGCGCGCATGCCTAATCTACCGCTCTGGCCAARTGACTAGAGTGCTGGAAAACTATCAACCATGCTATGAGCGCTGGATGGTTTTGCGATAGGTYGAAAACGAAAATGAAAGTTTAAAGAAACTACAGATATTTTGACTGTCAACTTACCCAAACACAAAGTTTCTTGTATGTTCACACTGAAGAACTGGAAAAACACGAACGAGAGGATCAAATTCCTCATGACAATCTCTTGCAGGCTTTAAACTTTGAAAATTTGTTCAACTTTTAGAACTGTTTCAGCACCGTCCCATAGCATCAAGYTTGTGGGGCTTCTTWAGAACTTTCCTAATCTATTTCCGCTTACCACAGTCAGGGACTTTGCCGCACCTTAGAGRCYCCATGTGATTGGCTGATTYAATCTYTCTTTGATGTGATTGGCTCGYTCCATAGTGCCGTTGCATGGCAATRCGCAGTAAACAAACTTGATATTGCTATAACTGTAAACAGATTGTCACTAAATCCAAATCAATTTATAGCTAAAATACTAGGAATCACTGTAGTAATTTACATAAAGGATTCCTAGTACGTGTACAGACTCATGTTCRTCGTTTGAGCGACAGGAGGTGTTCACGCTCAGTCAGTGCCCCCTCAAAGTGTTCAATAATAGTTTTTAGTGCTTGTACAAGAATCATGAACCCCTTGACTGATATTGTTTTATATTACAATATGAAGTCACTGTTAATTCTAATCTTGGTGATATTCAACTAGGGGTATAATCGGGGTATAATGGTATTAATTCATGTCTAGTGTGGAACGCTGATGAGTAGTTTTCTGACTGTGAAAGAATAGGCAAACTAATAGTTACCAGTAGACATCAAAACCATTGTTTTATTTTGTTCACTATTAACTAGTACAATATAAGTACTCATTTTCTTTTTGTGGAACTAAAGAACAGTGTTAGGCTCGATACACAGCAGTTTATTGGATATTGCATTATCTTTACTGATGCGTTCATATACTATAGTCTAATTATCACTAATACATGAATATATTCAATAATTCCTGAAGCTTAAGTGTTTAGTAGCAATGATCCCACCTGGAAGTAAAATAATTAAAATACAACAAATAACAAGTTACYAAGATTATATTATCCATCTTCATTTTATTCAAAACTTGCGATGACAACAAATCTTAGTAAAAATAAGAGTATAATCAACAAGGACCTTTATGCTCTGATGGCGTCGACGACATGGTGTGCGACAAACGCAGACTGCAGACTGAAGACTGCAGACTGGATATATATAAATATAAATAAAAACGTAAATCTCAAATTCAAGTTTTCAAACAAACAATAAATATAGTCAATTTACTACGGGTGAAACGTAACCACGCGAAAGACCGTACGTAATATTCAGCTTAATTTTCAACCTTTTTCCACGCAAACTTGAACCAAATTTAGATCACCAATGTCATTTATTTACAGTTTAAAAAGCAACATAAGACGAATAGAATTAGGATTAGAATTAGAGCGAATATAATAAGCTAGCATGTTTTGCTAGGTTTTAATCCAAAATGTTCGCACCTTTGAAAATAGTTTGAGTCATTCAAACATAATTTGACTTCAAAAACAAATTCACCTTAACGAATTTAGCTACACAAAGATAAAAATTTTATCTTTATAAAAGCCGTTAGTTTATCATTTTCAAGGAAGTTTGTAAATATAAACCTCGCCATTAGGGGGACGTCACGTCATGCACTTTTGGCATATTACATAACACTACACAGGAATTACGTACGGTCTTTCGCGTTGTTACGTTTCACCCGTAGTAAATTGACTATATTTGTTGTTTGTTTGAAAACTTGAATTTGAGATTTACGTTTTTACTTATATTTATATATATCCAGTCTGCAGTCTGCAGTCTGCGTTTGTCGCACACCGTCGACGACATTCTTTCGATGTGTCAACCAGCGTGATGTCAAGAAACATACAAATAACAATCAAGTCAGTTTGCAGAAATGTTTGGATCTGAACAAAAACTGATTGGGCTGTCTTCTTTATTTGACCATTGATGATTCAGTTCTGGTCAACAGTTCTTAATAACAACATTACGTCATATATCGCCCCGTATAACCTTTCAAACAACACTGAATGCTTCCACATGTATGCACACTCACGTGTCAACTTATACTCAAGTGTTGTAAGCCATGTGAAGTAAAAAGTCTCGAGGACGGATCTAGCAATTTCAAAAAGGGGGGCCGTTGACAAAAATGACAGKAAATGTAATTTTTGCGTGCACTTGCCTTGCACTAATAATCAATCGAAAATGCAAATGATAAATTTAAATCAAGCCGCCAATGGCGACACAACTCGAAGATTGTCAGACAATAAATCTGGACATAAGTCTGTATAAAGCCTCTTACGAAGGATAAAGTTTAAAGTTTATATGAATCGATGAGCATTAAATCACTAATCGACGTGGATCGGAATAATCCTTGAAATCATCGTAATAGCAATGCTGTATTATGAGCCATATTCACACAATATCTCCTAAAACGACTTCTGAAATCAACAGATTTTTATACAAGAACTTCCAGACCTCAAAAATCACATTTTGTGTGTTTAAAAAGCCATTTCTGTATCAAAACACCTGGCCATCTTGGTTACGGATTTCTAAATGCCCGTATGTTTACAGAAAACAAAATTAGTGACTAATTAACTAGTCCCCCTCACACATCATCTCCCTCATCTCCCTCTTTCTTATAACTCTTCGCAATCTTCGAGTTAAAAAACGACGATAATCAAATATTTTTTCAGGGTTATCAGTTAGTTTTCGAGGTTTTCTTGTTGTCTTTTTATGATATTTTTTGTTCAAAAAAGTATCACGATGACTTCATCTGAAGTAATTTAGATAAGTAATGCCCCCTCAGTGTTAGTAGTTAGTGATATTGCAGAGATTGTAATAAARTTTTCAGAATCATTTCTTAATAACATAATCGATATACTGACGAAGTTTCAMTAAAATCTTAACCTAAAATTTCGAGTTGTTTGAGCAAAATGATGTACATTCGAACAAAAAATACTAGGAATCACTGTAGTAATTTACATAAAGGATTCCTAGTACGTGTACAGACTCATGYTCRTCGTTTGAGCGACAGGAGGTGTTCACGCTCAGTCAGTGCCCCCTCAAAGTGTTCAATAATAGTTTTTAGTGCTTGTACAAGAAT